GAATCTAAATTTTATTTTTTCTCAATAAAAATTTCTATATTTCATTTAATCTCAAATAATAAATATATACAAATAAACTATCAAATATATATTTTTGTTTCTCTTTTTATTTTTGCCTCTGTACAAGTTTATAATAAAGACCCCCATTCTGCAATAATTGTAAGTGTGTCCCCATCTCCAAAACTTGTCCTTCACGCATTACAATAATTAAATCGGCAGATTGAACTGTACTTAAGCGATGAGCTATTACTAAACAAGTACGGCCTGTACGTGCTGCTTCTAATGCTTGTTGGACTACCTGAAAATTTTGTTTGGTGATTTATCCATTAGATAATTAGCTTTAAATTATTATTATCATCTTCTCACTTCTCTAAAGTTTACTTGACAGATGTTTCACTAAGAACACCGAGGTCTAGACTGTGGTGGAGCGGTATATCTATAGCAGTGTTTGTGCTGACATATAACTAAATTTGCCGCCCCGGGAATTTCGAATTCTCGACCCAAAAATGGTGGAGATCTGCGGTTTCAAGTGTAAATAACCGCTGATTCCTTTGTCTAGCATTAAAACTAGGCAAGTCTCTTCAAATTAATTGTTAGAAAAATGACAGTATGTATATAACAATAAGAGACTAAAGGGAATTTTTAGAGGATTATGTACTTGTGATTTTTTTCCTCTGATTTTTTTTATTTTTCTCGAAAGATTTATTTTTGATGAAAAAATCTTCCCCCACCTTTTCACTTTCAGTATCCAATGCACTAGTTGCTTCATCTAACAAAAGAATTTTCGGATCTCTAATAATTGCACGTGCAATAGCAATACGTTGTTTTTGTCCCCCACTTAACTGCGCTCCACGAGAGCCTACTGGAGTATCATATTTCTATTTTTAAAAATTTTATTTAAAAATTTCAAAAAAAAATTTTTTTTATTTACTTGAGGAAGAGATTCAATAAAATCGTGAATATTAGCTAATTTTGCTGCTAATTTAATTTTATCTTCATTAATATCGTCTTTATCAAGTCCATAAGTTATATTTTCTTTTATTGAAAGTGCAAATAAAGTAGGTTCTTGGCCAACTAAGGAGATTGACTTTCGTAAATGTCGAATATTGTAACGACGAATATCTACTCCATCAATACTTAATATTCCGCCTATTCAAAAAAAAAAAAATTTTTAAATTTAATTTCTCCATAAAACTCACTAAAAGGATCATAAAATCGTTCAAGTAACTGTATCATTGTACTTTTCCCACACCCACTAGGCCCAACTAGGGCAACAGTTTTTCCTGCTAAAGCTGTCAATGAAAACCCATTTAATGCTAATTGGAAATTTCCAGAATTTGGATAAGCAAAATGGATGTTTTGAGCATCAATTTGGCCGGTAATTGGTGCGTCTAGACCAGTATCGGAAAGAGAATCGATGCGGGGGCGAAGACTAGCCATTGCAAACATTAAGCTAAAATTCAGAATTAATAATTAAATAGAAAAATACAAGAATATTAACGAGAAGAAAAATCAGAATAGAAAAATACAGAATTAATAGAAAAACACAAAAATCAGAATTAATAGAAAAATACAGAAATCAGAATTAATAGAAAAATACAGAAATCAGAATTAATAGGAAAATACAGAGATCAGAATTAATAGAAAAATACAGAGATCAGAATTAATAGAAAAATACAAAAAAAATACAGAAATCAGAATTAATAGAAAAATACAGAAATCAGAATTAATAGGAAAATACAGAGATCAGAATTAATAGAAAAATACAAAAAAAATACAGAAATCAGAATTTCTATTAAAATAAAATACAAAAAAATACAAAAATTACCCAGCAGAAAGTTTAGCTCTCATATATTCAGGAAAATATGCCGCCGCAGTCATTATTGTAAATGATGCCAAATTTAATGCTTCAACAACTTGGAATAGAATAAAAGGTGTTGTATAACCTCTTTGAATTAAACAAAGTCCCAAATAATAAGTAATGGCAAAATTAAAGGGAACAAAACTTGAACTAATTGCTATCGATAAAGAAGTCCAAATACCTTTAGAAAAATAAGGTTCTTTTAATTATAAATATTTCTAAATCACCTCTAATAAAAGCAAGTTTGTGTGGAAGCTTTGCTGCCGAACGGAATCGTTCATAAACAGTTCTTTGCCTATTAAGGGCTTGAACAGTGCGGACATATTCTATTGACTCTGCTGCTATCTAAAAAAATTTCCAGAAAATTTTCAAAAAAAATTTACGAATCCCCCCTACCCTACTAGCATCTTCAGCAAGTAACATATCCCTCATTCCTCTCCTTTTCAAATAATTAGTAACAGAAGTTTGTGCTACAACCAAAATAGCTGCTGTAGTCAATCCAATTGGGGCAACATTCCAACCAAAATAAAAGGCAACAATTATCCCAGTTATTACAGAAACTATTCCTTGAAGGACTTCTGCAAGTCTTTGGTCAATTGCTGCTTGAACGTTTGGAGCATCCAATGCAAGACGCTGACAAAGTTTGCCGCTATAATGGCGTTCGTTGTCAAAAAAGTAGCCGTCTGTTTTAATTAAAAAATAAATAAAAAGAAAGTACAAAAAAAATACAAAATATTTTCTGAAATTTAATTAATGTATTTTTGTGTTTTATTAATTTTAAGGTTTTGTGTTTTTTGTGTATTTTACATAATTCTCCGGAAATCTATTTGATTGCCAATCTGAAGGTATAGAATTTTCTGAACTATTTATCTTGTATTTATTTTTGTTTTTATTATTAAATTTGTTTTGTAATTTTTCATTAATTATACAAATGTATTTTTGTATTTTTTAAACATTTTTCGGAAGTACCGTATTTCCTCAAATAGTACGGCCCCCTCAATTAGTACGGCCCCCTCTATTAGTACGGCCCTTTAGGTGAGGGTTGAAAAATAGTACGGCCCCCTCAATTAGTACGGCCCCTCAAATAGTACGGCCCCCACCTAAAAAATATAAAAATAGGCAAAATTTGAATTTTTAATCATAGTAATTATTCCTCGCAATATTTAACTAATTTATTAAATCTTAATATCTATTGGCATAGAAATTGGAGGGCTTAAGAGGATATCGGTGGATTAATGGGGATTTTATTGGATTAGGAAGGATATCGATGGAATTGGCGTGATTTCAGTATGGATGAATTTAAAAGGATTAGTTGGGAACAAGGTGAATAACGAATAGTCAGATAATTTATCAATATCTCGTTCAGTCTCCCGACTTCTTATCACCCCTTTAATCACTCTAATTCTTCTTAATCTCTCAACTTTTAAATTAATTATTCACGGTTGCACAAACCTAACACTTGACGCTCGACAAAACACACAACAAAACTCGATATGGAGGCCATTTTAAATGCAGCCTTAAATTTTAAGGTCTTTGGTAATTTCAGTTTGGATCTAGGCATATGATTAAGTCTGTTTCTAGACACACGCTAGTGTGTGTATAATGCACCTTCGATATAATGCATCCTCTTGGGCCTGAAAATCATGCCGGAATAGGGTTAGCAGATATAGGCAAATTTTCTGAACCGAAAAAGTCAGCACATCATAAATCATTTGTGATATCGAATCCGGGGAATTCCAAGGCCCAGACCTAATTCATCATTTATGGTCCAGACCTAATTCATCAGCTACCGTACCCCCATTGTAAACCCTGAACTTCCTTCAGTTCCTGGATACCATTTTTTAACCTCGAGGGGTACAATAAAGTGAGGTCGGATTGTAGTTTTTGTTTTATTTTTTTGAATTAATGGCGGCGCAAATGTCGCGGCGCATAAGTCGCCCGTCGCAAAAGTCGCGGCGCAAAAGTCGCGGCGCAAAAGTCCCTCGGCGCAAAAGTCGCGGCGCATAAGTCGCGGCGCAAATGTTCTCGGCGCAAAAGTCGTGATACCCTGTAAAACATGGACAGACAAAACACGGACGAAGACGGACAGAACATACGGACGAAACGAGCAGACAAAACACTGACGGACTCGGACAGAAAACACGGACGGACTCGGACGGACACAGACAGACAAAATACGGACGGACAAGGACAGACAGACAAAACACGGACAAACTCGGACAGTTTTGACAAAACACGGACGAACTCGGACAACCATTTTTAAGAATAAGGAAAAAATATGATTGCAGCATTATTTTCAGATACGGCCAAAATTTCAATACACACAGACTTAGTTCAAGGTGGCATAACCAAAAAAATTATTCATAAAATTCCGAAGGAGGGTTGAAATATAGTACGGCCCCCTCAATTAGTACGGCCCCCTCAAATAGTACGGCCCTTTAGAAGAGGGTTGAAAAATAGTACGGCCGGCCGTACTATTTGAGGAAATACGGTAATTTGATTTATAAAAAAAATAATTTTTGATTTCACCTTGTGACAAAATATTTCTAAATACATCCAATCGTAAACGTTGTGTTAGCCTTTCGCCCACAATACCTAACAAAGTTCCCGATCCAAATGTGGTAATTGCACCCCAAAAGCCGAGAAGGAGAAAAGCAATAGAATTAGCTATTGTTGAAATATGTAAATTGTTAAGTTTAAGTGCTGCTTCTTCTGCCTATAATATTTTGTATTTTTTTGTGTTTCTTATTTTCTTGTGTTTTTGTATTTTAAATAATTTTCCGGAAACACGTTCCGGAATTGTTTCTTGTATTTTTCATTTGTTTGTTTTGTTTGTTGTTTTGTTTATTCTAGAATCTTTCTGTCCCCAACAAACAAAACACATGTTTGTTTCCCATGTTTTGGAATTAATTATTCTGTGTTTTGCAAAATAAATGTTTTCCAAAACATTTAAAACATAAAAAGTGTTTCCCTTCAAATTGTGTTTTGTTTGTTTTTGTTTGTTGTTTTGTTTATTTTAGAATTTTTCTGTCAACAACAAACAAAACAAATGTTTGTTTCACATGTTTTGGAATTAATTATTCTGTGTTTTGCAAAGAAATGTTTCCAAAACATTTAAAATATGAACATGTGTTTTCCCTTAAATTGTGTTTTGTTTGTTTTTATTTCTAAAACACAATTCCCCCACAAAATGTTTAAACAAACATACACTTTCTTCTTGTGTAATATTAACAATTGTGTTGTTAATTGTGTTTTGTTGGAGTTCAATAGAATTTGAAAGGTCAAGGAATAATCGGCCATAAATTATTGAAAAAACAGGAAAAGACACTCCTCTACAAAGAGCGAGAAGCTTTAAAAAATTGAAAATAATTTTTAAAAAATTTTTTTTCTACCACTCCAACAACAATAAACAAAACTTCTTTTCTTGCATACAATAAAATTTCCCAAACAGAAGCTGGTTTTGCTTCTAATTCTTGCATAACTTCATCCAATCTTTAAAAAAATATTTTTTCAAATTAATTAAATTTTTTTTCTCTCACTCTTCCATTTCCTCCTCATTTCCTTCATTTACAGAAGTCATTGAACGGCCAATTCTTTCTGAAGCACGTGCCATTTTATTATTTATTGTGATACTGCCTAGACTAGCAACAGAATTTCTCATTGCTCGAGGAGTATGGTGATATGAAGATTTTCGTTGATTATTGTCAATATCATCATCTAAATTATTTAAGTTTAAAAAAATATTTTTTTAAATTTCTACCAGACGAATTTTCATCGGTTTCAAAACCGGGTGAACTGTTTCCGGAAATTTGTTGGGCAAGAACCTTTTTTAAAAAATAATTTTTAAAAAATAATTTTAAAAAAATATTTTTAAGCCCAACCAATTGACGATAGACTGAATCGGGGTTGGACATTAATTTTTCGTGGTTCCCCGTCTCGACAATTTGTCCGCGTTCAAAGACAATAATGCGGTCAACATTGCGAACTGTGCTAAGTCGATGCTGAAAACATGAGAGAATTAAAAGTATTTTCCGGAACATATTAAGCAGAACATTCTACGTATTTTCCGGAAAATACAAAATTTTAAAGAAAACACTCAGTAAAAGAACTAAAAATATCACCGCAATTGTAATAGTTGTCCGACCGGAACTTGCTCTTTCGAGCGCTTCCTGTACAACTTGCTCACTTTCTGCATCTAAGGCACTCGTAGCTTCGTCCAAAAGGAGAATACGAGGATTTCTAACTAATGCCCGAGCAATTGCTAGTCTAAAAATTTAAATGAAGTTATTTTATTTTCCGTCAAAACACCTTTGTTTCTGTCCGCCAGAAAGTTGCACTCCACCCTGGCCTATACGTGTACGGTACCCTTCGGGTAATTTACAGATAAATACGTGTGCATTAGCCATTCTACAAACATCGATCATCTATAAAGTTTTTTTAATTCCAAAATTCTCAATGTTCCCAAACCTCTTCAACAGTCACATCTTCCTTCCCCATCCGAATATTTGCTTCAACAGTATCCGCAAAAAGTATCGGTTCTTGTTGTACAAGAGCTATGTTGTTGCGTAACCATTCAATGTTTAAATCGCGTATTGGTAACTAACAATGAAAATATAATTGAATTATTTAAACATTAAATATCAAAATTCTTTCCGGAAAAATTATTCCGTTAAAATACTATTTAAGTTATGTATAAAAACATTTTCCGGAAGACTTTTCAATTTTTGTATTTTCTTAATTAATCTAGCAATAATTAAATAATTATTTTTACTTATTTTATAAAATAATTTCTATAATTCCCTACCCCATCAAGAGTAACACAACCACGTTTTGAATCATAAAATCTCATCAATAGTCCAACCATTGTAGATTTTCCACAACCAGAATGTCCAACTAACGCTACTGACTCTCCAGATTTAACAGAAAAAGAAACTCCTCTAAAAATAATTTTAAAATTAAAATTTGGGAAGAATTATTATTTTGTAGATTTTACCTAAGTATAGGTACTTTAGGCCTTGTTGGGTATGTAAAATGGACATCAACAAATTCTATTTCTCCTTTAACATTAGCAAGTTTCATTCCACTTTCACTACAAGCTTCAATAGTTGGGCTACGGTCAATTATGGAGAATAATTCCCCAGCTGCCAATTTAGAAGCTACAATAACTCCAATTTCTGGCAATGCCTGTCCAATACGCAATGCACCGGCAACTACTGACCAGAATACGGCAAATACCTTTTTTCGAAATTAAAAAATATTTTTTTGTTAATTTTACAGTTCCAGGAGAAATAGTCCCTTGCAATACAAGCCAAGTCCCGTACAAAAAAGCAGCACCCATCGAACCAAACATAACAAGTAAATGAATCCCTGCGAAGAAAGCTATCCAGGTACCTTTACAAATCCCAGTCTTTCTTCCCTCGTCTATTGAAAAATTTTATTTAGAAATATTTTTAGTTACAGAAATTTACCCAAATGTTTTTTATAACGACCAATTTCGAAATATTGGGCATTAAAAGACGTAACAGTTTTAATTCCATTAAGTACTTCTTCAGCAACTGCACCTGCCGCCGAATAGGCACTCATTTCTTTTCTTACTAATTTTGAAGCAGCGGTGGCGGAGCCGACAAAAGAAATGACCAGAAATGGAGAAACACCTTTGAGAAAAATATATTTTCAAACCAGAATAAAAATAAAACACAAAATAAATTCCGAAAAAATACAACTTTCCGGAACAAATAAATACATATAAAATTCCGGAAATGTATCCAATAGAGAGTAAAACGATATTTATAAAACTTTCCGGAATTTTCCGGAAAAGTTTTCCAATTAACATATAAAGATAACCTACCTAACATAACTAATGTCATTCTCCAACTCATAGTTGCTCCATAAAATATTCCAGCTACACAACAAGATATAGCTTGGATACATATTGCAACCTTATCATTCATGCCAGCTTTTATTTTCTCAACACCACTTGATAATAATTTAATTTAAAAATAATTGTTCAATATTTACTAGCTCATTTTGTGGGTTAATGCTCCAACTTGATTAGAAGGGCGATCAAACCATCCGGGTTCTTGTGCCAAAATCGCTTTGAAAAGATGCTGTCTAATTCTATGAATTTGCCTTTCACATAAAGTTGAAAAAGCTGACATAGATATTTGGCTACTGATAAATGTAGTTACTCCAAGCAAAAAGTAGAGTAACGCGTGGTGAGTTACTGTAATTTTATAATTTCAGAAAATAACCAAAAAAACTATGTATAATTTTCAGTAAAATAACTAAACATTTGTAATATTTTTTGAATATTTGATTGAAGTTCAGAAAACAAACGTAATTATTTCCAAAACATTTTCCGTAAATGTTTAAAAACATAAAATTCACCAAAACACCTTTAAACATCCGGAAAATTATTTAAAACCAAAGTTCCGGAAAGCATTTCAAAACATTAAAGAAATGTTTTTAGTAAACATTTCAAACAATTTTTTCTCTAAACATCAAGTTAAACATTTTATGTAAGAGATATGAAAACATCCCCATTTTTCAATTAAACATTAATTTTCCGGAAAACATGTTCCGAATTATTTATTTAAAAGTTTCCTACACACTTTTCTTGGAAAAATCATCCATATCTAAATTTCCAATTTCCAAGCTATGTTGTCCTTCCATAAGAACATCGGTAATACCACGAAAGATAATAGATGTTGCGGGGGTTATAGCGCCAACAAATATGCTGGTAAGTATTCCTTTAAGAAAAATATTCTATATAGAATTTATTCAGACTTTCGACAGACCTATAGTAAGTAAAAGCCAATCCCATCCCTCAGCATAACGTAACTAAAATTTTTTTTAATTTATTAGTATTTTTTATTAAATGTCGATTTTATTTTAATAATGTTGTCGATTCTCTAATAAATATTTTTTGTTCAAATTTTGTATTTTCCTTTGTTAAACTACCATATTTCCTCTGTCCCGTGGGGCTCTATTTCTCAACTATCCTCCAAGGGGGCACACCCCGATGTACCGAGAGCCTGTTATGGTTCGATGCGGCTCGACCAGCTGAATCGAACCATACAGGGCACCACGGATTCGACAATTTTGAAAAAAGTTATTGGGCTCGCGGTACACTGGCCTGCTCCCCTCCAAGTTGGGGCTGTATTAGGGGACGGGGCTCTAATTAAGGTGGGGCTCTATTTGAAGACATACGGTATAATAACACATGTTTTTGTTTATTTTACGAGATGTTTTGTGTTTTATTTAACAATATTTCCTTAAAAACACAAAACAAAAACACAAACCATTTCACCAAAACTTGCACCTCCAAACTTTTCTTTAATTAAAGAAGTTTTTCTCCTTCTTTTCCCCCCTATTTTAGAATCAAAAACTTTTGAGGACATTTTTCTTCCTTTAATAGAAAATTCTTCTTTCGATTCTATATCAGAAATATTTTCTTCTTCTTTTCCCAAAATATTTTTTTCGTCAAAATTTTCTTTTAATTTTCTATAAAAATTATTATTTTTTGAAGGAGAAGAAATTTTTTTATTTTTTTCTTCTTCCTCCTCCTCCTCTTGCCGGACCAATAAAGGCACATTTTCTAATTTTAGTTGTTCATTATTTTTATTTATTTCTTCAATTTTTTCATTTTTATTTTTTATATTGCTGTTTGATGTGTGAGAATTATTTATTAAGTGAGAAGAATTATCAACAGGCATTGTTTAGAAGAAAATTTTTTAAAAGCTCTTTGGGAAAGAAAAAAAGCATTTTAGGGATAAAAGCAATTTGGAAAAAATTATTCAAGCAGGAAAAAAATTTTTTAGAAAAATTAAGCCTTTAATGAGAGATAAAGGAAAAGAGACAGATATTTAAAAAAATCAAAACATTTAACTTTTTTACATACTGTAATTACTCTGGTAATTCCCCATTCAACCCATCTCTAGGGTGGGGAATTAATAGAGTGGGGTAGAAAGAGGGGGATTATTGTTTCAATCCATCCCCATAGAGACTCAACCCATAGAGACTGGGGAATTATAAAAACTGGGGAATTACTAGAGTAAATACGGTAATTGTCATTCAGCAATTCAACAGCCTCAAAAAAAGAACCTAAATTTGTGTGAGGCTTTAATTCTTGATATTTTTCTAAAAATATAAAACTTTCAGATTTTTTGTTTAATCAGAATTAACATTGAGTGGAAAATGTTAATTCTGAGATGGAAAAAAAATATTTTTGAAAAAAGAAAAAAACAACATGCTGCATAATAAAAATAAATATTTTCTCGTTAAACAATAGAAAAAATAGATATCCTACCAGAATTTCCTTTAATAATTCCAGACATTTAAAAATATTTTTTTCCATTTGTTTATTATTCTTAACCTATTTTTAAATATCAAATGATGACGAAAATAAGTATTTTATAGATAATTATTTAATAAAAACTATTTTCGGGTCAAGAAAATATTATTTTTAATTAAATTATGAGAAAGACTTAATTAATTTATTTATTTGTTTATGCAAGATGTTGCTATCGTTCTTCATTTTTAAAAAATATATATTTAATTATCAGATAAATTTTGGTTACCTAATTAAAGCCTTGGGAGTTTATTAGGGATTTTAATAGGGGCTGGCTTAAATTTAGGATATTTCTGGTATTTATATATTAAATAAATTATTTTATTTTTAACAATTATATGTAAATAGAAGCTTGTTCAACTGTAAATTTAAAAAGAAAGTAAATAATTAATAAAATATATAAGGGATTAAAAGCTAATATATATTGCGTAAAATTGATTTAAAAATAAAATAAATGTAAAAACAGGAACGGATTTAATAGAATACGGAATTTTAAAGAAAGAAATTGGTAATTAATTTATTTTTAATAGAAAAAAAATAAAAAAGTGATTTTTGAATTTTAATTTTTAAAAAAATTTTATAGAAAATTAAAATGCTTTCCATAAAGAATTTAAAATAAAATAAATTAAAAATAAAAAGAATTTATAATTAAGATTTGAAGAGTTAAATTTTTAATAAAAATTTAAAATTTAGTACTTATAATTTAATAATTATTGTCCAAAAAAGTAAAGGGAATAAATACTATTTAAAATAAAATTTTTCAAAGTCTTTTTATCCTTTTAAAATTATTTAAAGCAGGATTTTGTTTAAACAAATGGATTTTAGAGAAAAAATTTTTTAACAGAAAATAAATATAAAAGGAACAGAAATTAGGTAAAGTCATAATAAAAATAGATTAATTAAATTTATTAAAAATTTTAGAAATTTGGTAAAATTCTAGAATTACTTTTAGTAATTTTTGGAAAGACCTCAAAGAAATTCCGAAAAATATATATCAATTAATCTAAACAGAAACTTCAAATCGTAAAAATATTTTTTGGGAGCTATAGAAAATAAACTAAACTCTCATAAAAAAATAAAAGATTTTTTAAATTAAAATTAATTAAATTTAGATTAAAATTCTTAGATTAAAAATAATTTTTCTTATTAAATATCTTGTTGAAAGAAACATTTTTAGAATGAAATTAATATCTACTATAGAAAAAACAGAGGAAATTAAATAAAATAAAAAATTAAAGTTTAATGAAAAATTTTTTTACTAAAATATTCAGTACATTTAATTTTTAAAAAATAAAATATAAAAAAAAAATCAATATTTAATTGTTTGTCTATAAAATTAAATTAAAATTTAAGTACTACTTACAATAGTTCAAATGAAAATAATTTTAAAAAATGTGTTAAAAATAAGAATGTATACATACAATTAATAATAATGGGAAAATATAATTTTAATTTAAAGTTTATAGCGAAATTAAATTTTTAAAAAATTTAAAATTATAAAAAATAAATATAAAATAAACACATATAAATTTTAATTAATATTGTGAATAATATCATGAAAAAAAATATTTTTTAAGATTAATCTTAAAGTTTACTAGTTTAAGAATAGTCTTAGTCATAATTATTAAACTTAAAAAGCAAGTTTAAACTTTATTTATTTTTAAGTTTAAACTTGGCTAAACTTAAGTTTGAGCTTGTTTAAACTTATGCTTAAACTTGTTTAAACTTGATTAAACTTAAAATGCAAAATTCAAGTTTATTTTATTTTAAAGTTTATTTTATAATTAAGATTAAGCTTTAAAACTTTAAAGTTCAAACTTGAAAACTTAAGTATCAAATATTAATTCTTAAACAAGTTTTAAATTAAAAACAAGCTTAAAGTTTTAATTTTAAATTCAAGTTTAAACTAGGAAACTTTTCTTTTAATATTTTAAAAATAATTGATAAATTTTAAGGAAAATGTAGAGAAGCATTTTTAAGCTAGCAAATATACAAACATTAAAGCAAGAACGTTAGAATAAAAAAGGAACGAGCTTAAAAGCTATGGATGTTTGTAGTGTGTATGTAGTAGTTTATGCTTAGAAAAGAAAGAAAAAGCTTAGCTTAGAGTAGACAGATTAAAGCTTAGAAAATAGCATAAAATGGAGAACTGAAAGCATGACGTTAACTAGAGCTAAAGCTTTAAAATTAATAATTAATAGAAATAATTTTTTTAATATTTTATTTGTATCAGTTAATAGAGAAATAAATTTATTAATAATTTAATAAAAAAATAAAAATTCTTAAGTAAAAAATAAAATTAATTTATTGTCTAAAACCCCCCAAAAAACCTTCATTTTCACTAAAAATGTTTGGTTTTTGACTAGACATTTTTCGAAAAAAATATATAAATCTTGTATTTATTTTTATTTTATAGCCAATTTAATTCTCTATTAAATAACAATAAAAAGTAATTTAATAATCACAAATAATATTTTTGTTATGAGGGGAAACAAGCATAAATAAACTTAAAATTATAGAAGAAAGAATTATTTAAATAAATTATTAGAAAAAATAATTATTTATTAGACAACCCATAAAATAATTTTTTAAAAATTAAAAGAGAAAAGTAGAATAAATTATATTAATTATTTTATTTTGTATTTTATAGTTTGTAAATTAATAAAAAAAATAAAAATAATTTGAAAAAAATTATTTTAAAAATTATTTTTTGAAAATTGGGTTATAGAAAATGGCATTTTTTAAATTAATTTTATAAATTAAATTATAAGGAGTAGAAGAAATCGAGCTGGACCTGGACCAAGGCCTGGATTTTTCCTGTACCCAGAGTCCAGGTCCAGGCATTTTTTGGCCCTCCTGGGTTTTTCCTGGGCCTGGGTTTTTTCCTGGACTACAGGCCCAAGGTCCAGTCCAGGTCAATAAAACAAACACAGGGTCCAGGAACATGTCGAGGCTTGTCAAAAATCTCGATCTCTAATAAGGAATCCCCTTTTTGTCTTTTTTAGATATGTTTCTGCAAAATAAATTTTATTTTTTTAGAAAAATTCTTATATTCAAACTATTTTGAGATCAAAAAAAGAAAAGAGAAAAATTTAATTTTAGAATATAAAATTAAAAAATTAAAAAAATATAAAATTATTTTATTAAATACAAAAATAAAAATATTTTTAATTCTCACTCATCAGCTAAAGCTAATTAAATAAGCTAATAATTAACACTGATGTTTGTTGTTTGTAGTCTAAAATTAATTGAATTTGTTAAGCCAACAAATTGGTCCGGCAATTTAATTTTAAATATTTTTAAATTAAAATTTAAATAAAAACACGAATTATTTGTTGAAAAATTATAAATAAAATTATATTTAAACAATTTCTTAAATTAAAAATTAATATAAAATTTTTAATAATAATCTTTTAATTCGTAAACAGAACACGTATTCTATTAAAGTCCTTTAATCAAATTCAAAATGCTCATTGTCAGATTCTGCGTCTTCGCAGATTATCAAAAAATTTCAATTATAATAGGCCCAGTCCTTATCTATAATCAGATCTATATTATATGTAGCATGTTTGGGAGAATAAAACTCGAGAATTGGGAGATTGGAGTCATTATCGTGATACCCGTTATCACTAATATATTAAATACGGATATAAAAAACGCTTTTTTAAATAAAAAAACATATATGTATTATGTAAATACAGATATCAAGCAGTGTTCAGCAAATGGCCTTTTTCGGAATTTGGTATACCTGGAAAATACCTATATCGAAGAATATCGTAACAAAAGCTTCGGAATACCGGCTAGTATCTGTACTTTTTTTTTAATTTTATTTAAGAGAATAAATATATGTATAAAAGATAATTATAAAATTAAAGTGTCAATATTCTCACCTTAAAATTAAATTATTTTTTATCAAAAAACCAAAAATTATTTTAGTGCTTATTTCTAAATTTATATACTTATATAATTATAGTTTGTTTTTTAAAATTTTGTGCTTATCATTTAAAATTAAATTCCCTTCTTATCTTTTATTTTGAAATTTTTTGAATTATTTGTGTGAACATTTTTAAATTATTTCAAAATTTTTTGTAATATTAATTGGCTCTTTTTGAAAATTCTAAAATTGTTTTAATAAAAAAATGGAAGGTATGAAGGAGGGTAAGTTGCTTAGGAATTTTTAAAAAATTGGAAATTTATTTTTAAAAAATAAATAAAGTTGAAAGGAGTTTGAGGGAGTTTCTCTCCCTCTCTCTCTCTCAAAAATGAATTTATTTATATATTTATGGCACTAAATGTTTTTGTCCCTCAACTAGAGTTTTTTAACAATGATATCATAAAACTTGGACAAACAGAAAAAAACTTATTTTTGTAAATTAAAAGTGATAACATAAAAAAATAAAACTTTTTAACAAGTTTTTACATAATATATATTATTCAAATATTACCAATATTTTTTTTACTCTTTTGTGATTTCTTGCTACATATATTTTTAAAAAATTTTCTTGAAAAGTGTTCGTCCATTGTTTGTTTAAATTTTTATGGTTTTCGAAAAAAGTTTTTAACCTGAGTTTTTATATTTACGATTTTTGATTTCTAAGGAGGCTTTTAAGAATAATATTGCCAGTATTCGATTTTTTAACATTTGTTTGGACAATAAAAGGAGGGGACTAAAAGAGATACTTTCACAATAAAAAGGGAACCTCGCGAAGTATGACCAAAAATTTCTAAATAAAAATTACATCATCGTGTAGAGCATGAACGATAATTAGCCTATTTTTGGCCCTTTCCCCCAAATCGAAAAATTGTGGCTGATCAAGCCTTTTGGAGAGACTAAGTTTACTCCATTTATCTTATTAAAGAGAGAATACTGGAAAATACCGACACCGATAAATGCCGATGAACTTAAAATTTTGAAGTTAATCGGCACTTCCCACCTGAATATACCTCCAATTATTATATACCGAAAAATCTGGTTTTTTCTTGTCTATTGTCTTGGCTCTAAATGGTATTTAAATTTAAGTCTGCCCTACTGTATTTAAAAATAATTTTTTTTATTTTTTGAATAAAATTTTTTTAATTTTTTAACAAAATAATTTTTGCATATTTTGCATTTTATGATTTCATTTTCACAAAAAAATATTCTGGAATTAGAATAAACATTTTTTAACATCATTGTGTATTCTGTAAATATGTGTGTTAAAAACACAAAATAGATAGAAAATTTTCTCTTAAAGTTTTGAATCTATTTTATACACGATGTTTGTTTTGAATATTTTTTATTATCTTTATGCAAATATTTAAAGGTTTATAGTTGGGACGGGAAAAAGAAATTATTTTGAAAAAATTTATTTAAATCTTAAAAGAGGTTAACTGAAAAATAATTGTCTGCTACAATTATGTATTGAAGGCAAGGTCGATTTTTAATCGTTCTTGCACCATAAAGAATTCTCCACTTTCCTCTCGAAACCGATACCGAGATTCTCGGTCCATTTCTCGGCGAGAAACGATACTGACTCAAAGAACAAAATCCTCAATATTATCCAAGTTTTCGTCCATTATTTTTTTAGGATATCCGTCCATAACAGAGAAAGTGAATTGTTTTTGAATAAGGTCTTCTAAAATTCAAAAATTTTCGCCTGCGGCGCTGAAAGCAAGGTATTTGAATACCAATTTTCCATCATGGAACGGCTCAGAAAAATATCGGTTCAATATTGGAGCTCAGATCACCCGATATTTCTCCAAATCCGCTGATATCCCCGCATCAATCCATAACTGCTGATAGCCTTCATCCTTTGCTATCTCCCCAACTCACCGACATCCCATGGTATCTTTTTAAATTTCCTTGATCCCTCCAAATTATCCATCTAAATCCTCTGATACCCTTCTTAATCCTTTCTTGTATCCTGGAAGGATTCCACAGGTAGCCTTCTTTGCCCTTTAAATGTTGTTAATCCCCCGAATATATAATTAATTCTAATCGCTCTAAATCGAATGACATTACTTGTCGGTTGATACAACCTCAAAATTAAATACCCTCCTCGTTTTTCAGCGCCGCAGCCGCTGAATAATAATTACTAATAATAACGAATAAATTATTTTTACACGTATTTTTTGACATAAAATTAAAATTTCTGTTAGTCTCGGTCAGTATCGTTTCTCGGCTCAAAATGATGGTATCGGTATCAGGTTCTTGAGTATCGGTCAATCTCGGTCCAACTCTAGTTTAAATTAAAGGGGAGAATGAACTACCGTATTTATTCTAATTTAATTGCCCTCCAATTGAATACCTAACAATTTTTTGGGACATTGAAAAATAGAATGGCGGCCATTCTATTAGAATAAATACGGTAAATTAGAGGAAGTTTATGTATTTTAAATATTTAAATTGTTAACTTGGAAAATTTTAATTAGAGGAAATTTTCAGTAATTAGTAAGTATTATGTAAAAAAATCAAAAATTTAAATGGTTATCAATTTTGTTTACTATTTGAATTAAAATGAATTAATAAATATTTGCCGTTGGAATGTTTGCCTTTTGGTCTTCCTTTCCTGCCAAACACACAAACACTTTTATGTGGAAACATTTCATTATTATTATCAGAAGAGATCTAATTTGTGTTCTAATTTCGTGTTCTAATTTAAAATTTTGCAATTGTCTATTAAAGTGCGATTGCCCAGCAAAAGTATAAATATCACCCTTCTTTACATTTTAAAAAATTTTTTAATTCAAAATTTATTATTTCCACTAATTAAACAAAAAACCCCACAAATAAAAAAAACAATTTTTTTCAAATTTTATTTCTTGTATTGTTTAACTTTTCTAGGTTTCTTTCTGTGTGTTCTAACCCCTCTATAACACAAATGTGGATGTGTGGCAGAAGTTAATAAATTTGGATCAGGAGGGTCAGCTTTCCATTTACTATAGACAGTAAATATGTCGTGACCTTTAGTTTCACAGTCCCAAATTTGAAGGCCACGAGGGAGAATTGTGGCAACTTTGCAGCGAAAACCTTTAAAAATTTTTAACAATTTTTGGTAAAAGTAAAGAGAACGAAAATACTTGATCGGTAATCTCCACCCTCAGCAAATTGTTCTACCATCGTCAAAATTTGGCAAGGATCTTTCCAGCAGAGACGATGAATTCTTTTACGCTCAAATTCAAAACTAAATTTTTTAAATTTTTAATTGAATAAAAAAGAGAAAAATATTTTTTGCAGAGAATTAAATTAGTGATCACTAAGATCCGGATTTTTATTAAAATAAATCTTTTTTTAGCAATGACACTTTGTCGAGAGAAGCCCAAATATGCTATTAGTTTTTCGATATTATGATTCTGAACAGAGGTGGGTCGGAACAGTCAGAGGTGTCGGAAATCGGAACTGTCGGAAATCGGAAATGGCTCAAAAGTCGGAACTCGGAAATCGGAAATAAAAATTTTTTTTCGGAAATCGGAAATCGGAAGGAAAAAAACGCCGGAAATCGGAAGGCGGAAATCGGAAATAAAATTTTTATTTTCATACTAAAATAATATTTAAAATTGTAAGGTGGCAAATTATGGGCCTTCTTGAGTGTAATTCGAAGGTGCTAAAGTTTTTAAGAGCCGCACAATTATCGAAGACTCAATCCCTCGATATCACACACAGATCCCTCGTTATTACCCCTTGAATTCACACGATATATCTCAAAGTCCACCTTAATCCATCCTAATCCTCCGATATACCATTCAACTTCCATTTACAGCGCCGCAGGCAAAATTTTTGGTATTTTTGGGAGCCTTAAGCCAAAAATCTTCCATTTTTTGCGCCGCAGGCGAAAATTTTGAGAATTTTGGAAGAACCTTAAGCCAAAAATCTTTCAATTTTTGCGCCGCAGGCGAAAATTTTGAGAATTTTGGAAGGCTGGAAGCCAGATTTCTTTCTTTTCTTGCGCCGCAGGCGAAAATTTTGGAAAATCGTTAGTCGGAAATTTGCTTCAAAAATTGTCGGAAATCGGAAATTTTTCCAAAATTTCGGAAATCGGAAATCGGAAGGAAAAAAACGTCGGAAATCGGAAGTCGGAAATCGGAATTCCGACCCACCTCTGATTCTGAACAAAGTTGTATTTTAATATATTTCAACATTTTATGGCCATATATTGCAATTTTATTTCAACAAAAATCCGGACCCTAGTAATCACCAAAACCGCATTTTCAGCCCATTTCCCGGAGTAATTTAGAAGTTTTCGGGATTAGCCCCTACTGAATTAAACCAACAAAACGTTGCGGGATTTGTATGCATCGATAGCAGGAATGTCACGGGTTAAGAGAAAAAAAAGTAGGGTCGGATTTTGAGTCGAAAAAAGTCAGAATTTCGAGTAATCCTGACCGGTAGCAAACAGTTAATGATACCTTCCCTCCTTCCTTTTTTCTCTTATTTCTTAAATATTTAATCGAATTTAAGCCGTAAATATTTTTTAAAAATAAATTTAATCAAAAATACAAACATTCCAATAAGCCACGGATCAACACTAACATAACCCCTTTGTAACGTAAATTTAATTTGAGGATTGTTCTCTCTAAAAAATACCAAAATTAATTTTAGAAAACCCCCTCCAAACCCCACCTAATTATTGGCAAATAATTTTCCACAAATTTCTCCGTTCCTTCACTCATCGGAGCAAAAGCAGTCCAATAAACTTTCATTTCACGAAAATTCTCACCAAAACGTATTCTTTCAGCGATAAATGAATTTCTTGGTGCAAAATAATTTAAAACACGATTCATTTTTCTGAAAAAAAATTTAGAAAAAAAACTATTTTTTTAATTAAAAAAATATTTTCATATCAAATTAAAAATGAATAGAAATTTTTAAAAAATAAAATAATTCAATTTATCAATTCAAAAGTTTAACAAAAACAATATCAAAATATCTACTCCAACAAATTGAAAAAAAATAAGTAAATAAACCAAATAAAATTGACCAAAAAAACTTGATTTAATATTTAATTTAAAACAATTTTTATGGAAAATAAATGAATTTTTAGCTGATCCAATTTAGAATTATTTTGTTTATTCTACAAAACAGTACTCCCAAAATAGGAATAATTGTTGAGAGAATAATCAAAAAAAAATTTGGATTTAACAACTATTACCCTAGAAAATTAACAAAATATTATTCAAATTTTCATTTTTCGCACCCTCAATATATTTTTAAATTTTATTTTATAAATTTGAAATCCTAGTAGTGTTGTCGGTTACTGGAAAATTTTCGAATATTAGGAACAAAACCGAAGAACAGAACCGAAAAATCACCGGTTCTTCGGTTTGGTCCAGAATCGACAACTCTATTCCCTGGGTATCATCCACTTATTGTTAGATGCCAAAAAATATTTTAAAAAAAACTTGGGAAACCCTTTTCTTTACCCAAGTTTTTGGTCAAAAAATAAATAAAATTTTTAAACTTTAAATTTATTCATTTTCTTTTGCAGTATTTCTTGAAGAACTTCCATCATCTGTTTGTGAAACATTTCCTCCTCCTCCACCACCATTTATTAATTTCCTAACACGCAAATATTCATCGACATCTGCTGACATTTCCAATTTAAGTTCGCGAATTAAATTGTATTGAAATTTTTTGTAAATTTCTGTTTTGCCGTTTAACTTGAAAAATTAAAAAATTTTTTTTTGAAATTTTGGATAACTATTTAGATTAAATTAAAAATTAATTAAAGTCTCGAATCTAAAATAGCGTAAATGCTCTAATTAAAGCCCTGGGCATCTATTTTTCGATGGGTCAATTTGGGTGGGCTTATATTAGATATGGCTTATAATAGACCGAGGCTTCAGAACACGCTGAAAAAATTCTCGCAAGTAATAGTCTTTGTTGAGTTTTACACCAAAATCCACGAAAATAAGGAGTTTTTTGACTGACGCGCAAATACCGGCCCAAACCATGAAAGATTGGGGATTTTGGGAATGTGTGATAAGCTTATCGGAAAGAGGAGATTCTGTAGTCCAGATTCTGAAATTCTGATGGTTGTGTACGGCTTCTTTTGTAAAAATTTTTTAGTCAGAAAAGAGAATGTCCGGACATGCGTGCTACTGGAGGAGATGAAATTTTGCGGACAGAATTTTTTTGCCAAAAAAGTGAAACTATTAGAATCACGTTGACTAGCCATAATAGAGAATTGAATGGGCTAAAAGATAAGCATAAAATCGTTTAAAAATATTGACAATAAAAAAAGTTATAAGGAATTTAAAAGTGTGCAATTACTTATGGCGCACCCTGTAGTTGAAAGCTACTTAAAGGAATATTAATGGAAAATAAAAAAAGTCAGTAGATTCCAAAAAATGAAAAAAACTACGGGAAGAAAAAGACTTCCCCCAACACTTAACGTAATCTAAAAATCCCAAAAAATTAAAAAAACCTCTTTATTTCTCTTCCTCGTATCCTCTAAAGCTTCCTTAGTAAATAATTGTGGATTGTTTCCTTCATCCAAAATATCCAACAAACGAATAGGTACGCGAACATCGACAAATTGGTTTTTTAATTGATCCAAAACCTTTAAAAATATTTTTAATGAAAATAAAAAAATTCAAGAAAAAAATACTTGAAGACCAGAAACGAGCGTCTGAACTTTTTGATTTAACGGTTCTTGACTCTGTACACTAAAATCACTAGCAATTACACCCATATGACGAGCATTTTCCTTTAAAAGCGAAATAAAATTTTAAAAATAAAAAATTTTTGTTCAAAAATTATTTGGTGAAAATACTCAAAAGGTCTCAATTAAATCCAGTCTTATTTATGTAAGCAAAGGCAACCTCGGCAAACCTGTGTAGAGGAGTAACGTGTGGGTACTTATTTACTTCCTACACCCAGTCAATTTTTTTCGGTAAATATGTAAAAAAATGGTCAGTCTGTAATGTTATAAAACTCGTCGAGCTGTGACTGACTGACCATTTTTTTCAGATATAATGAAAAAAACTGATTGGGAGGGGGATTAAATAAGTAACTTAAGTGTCGGTAAGTATTTATTAAAAACCTGAAAAAGTTCCAAATTCCTCTCCAAATTATTAAAACGAGTTTCAAAAGATTTGGTCCGGCTGTGTTGAGCTAATCCCTCCAGATGTTGTACCTCCATTCACCGCGCTTTGAACAAATTCATTCATTGTTTGTTTAATTGCCGTTCCGAACCTTTTCGTTTTGCAAATCAGTCAAGACTTGTTTTCGAACTTCGTCAATGTCAATATCAAAAGGCTTGTGCAATTTAAGATTCTTAAATGGAAAGAAATAATTTGGAAGGAAAAAATTGTTAGAGATTTTTGGGTAATAATGAAGAAGGAGACATCATAAAAATAAGTATTTCTTCTGGAAATCAATGGTGAATACCTATATAAAATAATTTTCAGAAATAAATCATTTTTATGGTGTCTCCCGGATTCTTCACTATTACCGATTTTGGGCATTAATTTGGATTAATGTCCTGGAACAAAATATTGGACTTTAAATCTATAAAATCCTAGAGCTTTGTTAAACCCCAAATCTATTTCGATGTTTAAAGAAGGTAACAAAATGAGAAAAGGTCTGTAAAATGTTCTCAAGAGTCTTCCTATATCCGGTCCACCCTCACTCTAAATTACAAAAAACATAAATCTAAAAATAAATGAGAAGGTAAAATTCTACCAAAATCTTCACCAACGTCCCCGCATATTCAATTTTCTTAAAAATCCCTCACCCCCCCCCCCCCCCGCCCGCCAAAAAGACAAACCTTTTCAACACACTCTCTATAAACAGAATGTACTTGTTCACAAGGATTGTTCAAACCACTAGAATGTCGATATTCCGGACTTATAAATTTCTGGAAAAAAGCGTTAAAACAATTGTCGTATTCTTTCTTTAATTGATCACACTCTTGGAAAATACTGTGCATATAACGAGAATTATTTGTGTTTTTTGTTGTTTTTGTTGAACCTTCTACTGTTTGTTTTTGTTGTTCAGACATTAAATTTGCATAACTAAAAAGTAAATTTTTAACAATTAATAAAAGCGATAACAAAGGAAAAAAATTTTTCTAAAAAAATGACAATTAAAGGGGGTGGGGACGATTCCGACTTTCGGTCACAACAAAGTCTTTGTGAAATAAAATGCGCTGATTACAAATATCACTATGAGAGTACTCAAAACGGCAATCCAGGAGAATTGGGGTTTCTTCGAAAAAAAAGTTTAAAAATAAGAAAAAGGTATTTTCTAGGATAACAAAATATGCTAATTACGAATCCGAGCTCAGATTTTGAAAAAGTCGAATCCCGAACCCGAACCAAATTTCGAACCCTGAACCCGAATTTCGAATATTCAAATGATAGCTCGTTCGAAAGAGCTCGTCGAGCTGCATCGAATGACACCAAAATCAACGTGATTGGACAAGTTTAGACAAAGTTATGACATAAAGTATACCTATGGGAGTACTGTAGGAGTCGGCGACTTATGTCATAACTTTGTCAAAACTTGATCAATCACTGTAATTTTGGCGTCATTCGATTCAGCTCGACGAGCTCTTTCGAATGAGCTATCATTTGTAAAAACTTTTTTTACTCCAAAAAATCACCCATGTGGTTTTTCAATATTTAGGGGTCTGTATCTCGGTTCAATCCGGTCGGATTTCATTGATTTTGGTGTCATTCGACACACCTCGATGAGTTCTATGATTCTATTGAAAGACTGGCCATTTTGTACAATGTCTGTAATGTTAGGGTTCAAAAATCCTGTTCGGGATCAAAAGTCCGAATTCGGGTTCGGGATTCGACTTTTTCAAAATCTGAGCTCGGATTCGTAATCAGCATATTTTTTTACCCTAGAAAAATCCTTTTTCTTATTTTTAAGATTTTTTTCCGCAGGGACCCCAATTCTCCGGGATTGCCAATTATTTTATCTAAAAGGATTGATTTAATCCGAACACCATACAAAAAGTTGTAGCCGAATAAGTGAGGTCAATCGTGATTTTCTATCTTTATTTGGCTTTAATTTTTTGTAAAATGTTCAGATCAGATCAGTTCATTATTAAAAAGATGCCGCATCTCGAGACCTTTCGAATGATATGAAAATTACTCGAAAAAAGAGGAAAGGCAAGAAAGTTATGGACCAAAATATGGCCTAGACACTGAATCGGTGATACTGAAACGTCCTCTTCCGCAATTTGGAGGTGACCGTTTTGGCGCGAGCTTTGGCGCAAGTTCCCGGTACACCTCAATTGAGTCCGCACGATTGAGTCCTCACGATTGAGTCCGCACGATTGAGTCCCCACGATTGAGTCCCGGCACAATTGAGTCCCCACGATTGAGTCCGCACGATTGAGTCCCCGTTGTATATACCTCAATTGAGTCCCCGTGGATTTAATTATATTAAAAAAGATTAAGAGGGATATTTGGGGATTTGGAGGGATTAATGTTCGAAATGGTGGATTTTTTGGTGGAATTCCATGGGGAATTTTTGTTGCGAAACATTCGAATAAACAAAAAATAGCTCATTCGAAAGGGATCGACGAGATGAGTTGAATAAGACCAAAATCAAGTTGATTGAATGATTCTGAACAAATTTTGACCAACAGAATCTTCGCTGGAAAAACTTTTTGTGCTGCTATGGAGGGTAGGGGAAACTATCTAAATTACGAACGTAAAAACTCCTTCCTAATTTCCGGACTCCGGCAGAATTTACCTGGATACGGGAGAAAATCAAAATGTGAAAAAAAAAATAAAAAAATATTTTTTAAAAATTTTATCAAAAAAATTAAAAAAAACCAAAGTCTAGCTTCAATTAGTGTGCCAAAGAAGGGCCTTTCTTTCGTTATTTGTTCTCCTAAGTTCACCACCTTCGTTCCTTCAGAAACTGTGAACTTGAAAATCGCCAGTCAGAAACTGACGAAAATCAACTAAAAAATTTTAAAAATAAAAACGAAAAACAAAATAAAAATTCCAAACCTTTTCAAATTTCCCATCGTTGCAGCCGTGGGATGAAGTCCGACACGTGATGAGCAAAGTTAGACCAACCTGAAATATAAAATCTAAAATTAAAAAATAAAAATAAAACTTTTACCTACACAAGATTCTCGTCCTCCCTCTCGTCCTCATTGAGAAAATTCAGTGCTCGGATGGACTTGAGTGGATGCTCGGTCAACTAATTAACAAAATTAGTTGCAAACCCCAAAAGAAAAACGGATATAGTGTAGTGTACCGGTGGTAAAAGTTCGGGACGTGACATATGTCATTCGATTCGTCTCGACGAGCTGAGTCGAACGGTACCACTCCCTATTTTAGGAAATAATTCTGGACCGAGTTATAGGTCCCGGAAAATTGAAAAACCATAGGGGGGAGTAAGCTCGATTTTGGGGTGAAAAATTCGAATATGCAAATAATAGCTCTTTCGAAAGAGCTCCTCGAGCTGAGTCGAATGACACCAAAATCAACAAAATCCGACTTGATTGGACCGAGATATAGGCCCCTAAATATCGAAGATCCAAAGGGGCGATTTTTGGAATAAAAAATTTTTTATACAAATAATAACTCATTCGAAAGAGCTCGACGAGTTGAGTCGAATGACACCAAAATCACCGTGATTGAACAAGATTAGACAATGTTACGACACAAAAAACAAGCAACATAATCCTATGGAGAGTCGGCGAGGCGCTTGTGCAAACCCCCGCGCTTCGCGCGGGGGTTTGCGGCACGCGCCTCGCGGGGAGTCTACGGGCGGTGGGTCTGGGCTCGTAACATAAACCTATTCCTATCTCCCTTGCTCTGGGCATACCTGGAGCCTCCGTAGCAGCAAAACCCTCCATGGAGACCATAGGTAAGGAGCTAAAACAAACGATCGTAACTTTGTCCAATCAAGTCGGATTTTGTTGATTTTGGTGTCATTCGACTCAGCTCGAGGAGCTCTTTCGAATGAGCTATTATTTGCATATTCGAATTTTTCACCCAAAATCGAGCTTACTCCCCCCTATGGTTTTTCAATTTTCCGGGACCTATAACTCGGTCCAGAATTATTTCCTAAAATAGGGAGTGGTACCGTTCGACTCAGCTCGTCGAGACGAATCGAATGTCATATATCATGTCTCGAACTTTTACCACCGGTACACTACACTACAGCCAGAAAAACAAAAAAATAAAAAAAAAACAATAAAAAAATCTAGGAAAATAATGCGGGTACACAAACGTCCCCCTTTGGGTGGGTACACAACCGGCGGTACACAAACGGCCGGTACACAAGTGTCCCCTACCGGGAATTTTTAAAATTAAATCCACGGGGACTCAATTGAGGTATATACAACGGGGACTCAATCGTGCGGACTCAATCGTGGGGACTCAATTGTGCCGGGACTCAATCGTGGGGACTCAATCGTGCGGACTCAATCGTGGGGACTCAATCGTGCGGACTCAGTTGAACTGCTCCGGCAAGTTCCGTGTATTTTTCGTTTTCCTAATTTTTGTAAAAAATTTTTAGAAAAATGGGTTTTGATAGTGAAAGAATGAGACAAGCGTCATTGAAGCGTAAAGAAAAGAAAGAAAAACGTAGACAACGCGCACGAAAAGCATTACAAGCAAAGATTAAAAAACAACGGTAACGAAAAGCTGCTTTAAGCGATCATTGTTATTTTAACCAAAGTTCATATGTAGAGGCTGGTCCTTCAAACGAGCAGAACATCCCCAAAAACAAGGAAGTTTCTACTCAAACATTTTCTCCAACAAAATCTGTAGCTACACAATCAATAATAGAGTTTTTGAAGTCTCAGATTTTTATTTTTTATATTTTTTCATAACTTGAATTTTTTTAGAAAATAGAAAAATTTTTTCTTGCTTTAAATTCTTCGAATATAAAGCAAGAAAAAAATCCGTCTCAAATTCTATTCTACAAAAATTAGAAAATTAACTGATTCATTCTAAATTTTTTAAGAAGAAGAATGCAACCACGACCAAAACAACAGCTAAAGACAAGGAAAAACCAGCTTCAACAACCACACGTGGTCGTAAGCCAAAGAAGCAACAAGAACACGAGGATAATGAGGAGAGAATGATGGAAATGTTGTTACCGAAAAGAAATCTAAGGGACGTTCCAGAGGTGGTTCTAAACAAGGTTTATATTTTTTTAAATTTTTGATTCTCAAAATTTCGAAATTTAATTAGCGTTTAATTCGCCAAATTTTTTACTCTTTTTTTGTGTTTTTAAAAATTAATTTAAATATTACGGTTTTAGTATTTTCAGATTTAACGAGCTGGATACAGAATTTATTGACCAACTTATTGGTTTATTTGTTTTTCAATTTAATGCTATTTATAAAATTAAGAAAGTATTTTTGTTCTTCACCGGCGACACTTGAAATGCTTCTTTGCTTATTGTTATACAGCAGCTGCTCTGATTTTACTTTCTTCATTGACCTCGTCGATTTCAGCTTCGCCGATTCCTCTTTTTCTTCACATGGCCGAAGTTAAATGTGTCTTCGATACCGCAGAAATGGTTTGTTTTATATAATTTCCTTTTCTAAAATGCTAGTTATCAATTCTATTTATGAACTATAAGATACCCAGGCTATTTTTTATCTAGAAATTTTAATTCTAGTCTTAACTAGAATATTCTTCTCGAATATTTAGAATATATTTCTTATATTATAGATCCACAGTCCTCGACAAGAAAGTTCATTTAAGTATATTAAATTATTCAACATTACTACGTTTGGAAAAAAGAAAAAAGAGAGGGGATTTGAAACTTGGGGTTACATTAAAATTCGAGAAAAATAAATATTCACCAACATTGTTGAAGGCAATTTTATTGAGAAACTTTGATATCTTATGGAATAGATATGGCTTTATATCCATGTTTACTGCTTTTTTATTGTAGGTTTTAATTTTTGCTAAACATTTTTTATCATTTTAGAATCATTCTACCGAAAATTTGCAATACCTATTCTAGCTGGACATAATTATGTACCAAAGGAATTGAATCAATTACCAACATCTATGACCAAAAACACATTGTATGTAAATAAGGAAAGATTCCGTCATTTGTAAAAGCGAATTTTTCACCCCAAAAACGTGCTTACTCTCCCCTATGGTTTTTCGATGTTCGGAGCCTATATCTTGGCCATTTTGTGAGTCCCGAAGCTAATTTTATTGTCGTTCGATATAGTTCGTCGAGATCTTTTGAATGACATATCGATTGTCCGAATCGGTTTCCGGGTCACATGACGGAATTTTACCATAAATAATTTTATAACTTAAAATTAAAATTAAGGTTGTGCATTGTTGCCACTATGGGTACAGAAATCGGGTGGGAGGAAAACTGGCTCAACTTCAAGCACTCTTTAATGTTTTAATTAAAAGGAAGTGATGAAAATTCAGTTTATTTTTGTTTTAATTTATAAATTTGGTTGCTTTACAATTATTGTTTTATTTATTTAAATGTCTCTGAAAAAATTTAAAAAATAAAATTTTACGTAAAAAAGTTGACCCACTAACTGAGTTTTCAAGTCTCATGTCAGATTCTTTATATTTTTTTGTAACTTGGATTTTTTATAAATTAAGAGAAAAATTTTTCTTGCTTTAAATTCTTCAAATAATGAAACCTGACAGTATTAAGGATCGTGATTTTATGTACAAACTGATAATTGGGTAATTTTTTTATATTTGAAAAATTAATTTTTAATTTTTTTAGCCAAATGTTTTATGATGGACACCAACAATTGGCACTAAATTTGGTAATTTTCTTGTTAAAATTTTGGATTTTTTTCCAGGAAATTTTAAGTAAAAAATTTTTTAAATTTTTTTCCAAGGCTCAATCACTCGGCCTTTCTTTACGTCCACCCCCTCCTTCAGACAAACTTTTTCGGTTAGTAACTGTTGCTCGCCAATATGTTGAAGACCCAGAATCTAAAGAGAAAGAGGCTGTTGGTGACCAGGTTTTGTTTATTTTTTTTTAATTTTTCTCTTAAAATTAATTTTTTTTAGTTCGGTGTTGAATCATCCGGTTTGGATTTGGAATTTGATGCTGATGTTGTTCCTACTAGTTGATTTCTTTTTTAATTATTTTCTTTAATTTTTAATAGGCCCAGAACCTAGTTTATACGAGACTGTCTATTTAACAACACATAAAGGTCCCTGCCGTGCTGCTGCTTTTTCTTCTGACGGTTTTTATTTTTTCCTATTTTTAATTTAAACTTTTTTTGGGAAAATACTCTTGCGCCGTTTTTCTAAATTGAATAGTCTAACCCTTTCCTTTAAGACACAATTCTAGCCTTGATTTCTTAATTCTTTAGGCGCACTTATTGCAACAGCTTCAGTTGATTGTTCAATAAAAATAATGGATGTAGACAAAGTTATTTCAAGGTTCGTCGGAACTGTTAATTTTGTGGGAAATTTTTGCGGATTTATGTCACTCCTTATTTACTTTTTAATAAAATTTTTTGTCTAAATTAGCTTTTAAAAAATCCGCAGAAATACCGGATTCTTTATAAAAATTAGTTTTTTCAGGATTGATACAGCTGCTTTAAGCGAATCAGGTCCCGATTCACACCATCCAGTAATACGAACACTTTACGACCATTTGGATGTTTGTTTTTTTTAATTTATTAATTATAGTTCTTATTGTATTTTTGATTTTTAAAAATAATTTCTTTAAATTTATTGGGTCAGAAATTAATTTTTTATTTCTATTTTAATTTTTCTTTTAAAAATTTATTTTTCTAATTTAAAATAGGGTAGCACCTCGTCCCTCAAAACCCCGACTATTTTTTTGTCAAAGACCCAGACCCGAAGGTTCTACCCCGGCAAATCCCAATCCTCGACACTCCCTTAAGCTCGGAATGCTACTCTAATTTAAAATAAATATTTTTTAAAACTCTTTTCAATTTTTAAGGAAGTCACTTGTGTTGCTTTCCATCCTCGGGAACAACTTCTCCTCTCTGGAAGCAACGATTTTACTTTAAAATTATTTGATTATTCAAAGACTGCTGTTAAACGGGCAATGAGGACAATTAATGTTTTTTTCTTTAAATTAATTTTTAAAAAATAATTTGTAGGAAGTCGAACCAATTTCTTCAATTACATTTCATCCAAGTGGAGAATTCTTTTTGTGTGGTACAAGACATCCTACTTTGAGGCTTTATAACACTGAAACACAGGTTTTTTACAAAAATTTAGAGAATTTATTTTTTGTTAAAAATTAGAAAAAATGGACAAAAATATTTAATTTTTTGGATTTTGAATTTTCATTGATTTAGTCATCGGGAGTTATTATATTTCCACATTTGATAAAAAAATCTTTTGAAATTTTTAATCGATATTTTATCAAAACCTCTAGCTTTTTATCGAGTCTTTAAACAATCCTTTGTTTGACAATAAACTAAACACGTGTCTAACAGAAATTTTCGAAGGCTAGGAGAAATTTTCAATGTAGGCTATAATTTTAAATGCAGATCGTTTCGTGATTTGTCATTTCGTGATTTAATAATTCCGTGGCTTGTCCGTTCCGTGAATTAGCCCGACACGACATTTTTAGCGTAGGAGTCAAAAAGTCTGAAAATTTCTGAAAGGCCCATGACGAAAAAAAATCATTTTTTGATCATTATTCCTTTCTATTTTGAGAATCTTTCTCTTTTTAAATTCAAAATTTTAATTTTAAAGCAATGTTTTGTTTCTTCAATGCCCAAAGATCAACACAACGATACAATAACTGATGTTTGTTATTCTGAAAATGCTCGAATATTTGTGACTGGAAGTCGGGATGGGAATGTTAAAGGTTTTCTTTGGGTTTTCCTTTAATTTTAAATTATTTTTTAAAGTTTGGGATGGCGTTTCCAATCGTTGTATTGAATGTTTTAATCGGGCTCATGACGGAGCACCAATTTGTAGTGCTAGATTTACAAGAAACGGAAAGGTTTGTTTGTTGGGGTTTAAATGGGGGGTTTTTTAGAAATTTTATGAGAGGGTTCGAAGATTTACCAACATTGTGGTCCTGGTTCATGACTGTCCCCTTTTAAACTTTTCAAAAATTTTCGATCCGAAATTCATCAATCATGGCCAAGCGAAAGGCTTTTTATAGACCCTAAACCTCCTGAGAAATTTTTTGATTTTTGCTGATTTTCTTAAAGTAATTTTTTATTTCACAGTACGTTCTCACCGTTGGAATGGACAGTGTCCCCAAATTATGGGAATTATCAACTAACCGTTGTTTAATTGCATATACAGGAGCAGGGGCTACTGGGGCAAGAGAATATTCTATGCCTGCTGTGTTTAATCATACTGAGGATTATGGTTAATAAACAAATTTTTTTATGATTTATTTGGGATCCTGCTGTTCCAATTCCTCATTCCAAACAATCAGAAAAGTATTTTGGGTCGGGAATCCCGATTTTTCGAAATCAGAGATTTTTTTCTTTGACGTCAGGATCCCTGATACAAGCACACCATTTTTAAAATAATTTAAAAAAATAAAATTCCTTTCCATAGTAATGCTCCCTGATGAAAAATCAGGTTCATTATGTTCTTGGGATGCTCGTAATTCTGATCGGGAACGTTTGTTGGCTTTGGGACACACTGCAGAAACACGCGCATTTGTCCATTCACCTACCATGCCAATGTGAGTGAAAATATTTTTTCTTTGTATAAATTTTTTTATTTTAATAGTTTTGTCACTGGTTCAGACGATCACAGGTAAAGAATAATTATTTTTGAAATATTTTAAAAAAAATTTTTTAGAGTTCGTTTCTGGTTTAGAAAACAAGAATGGAAGTAAAAAAGTACACAATAGAATTAAATTTATTTTTAAAAATAATTGTTTTTTTTGATTATTTACAAGGAAATAAATTTCAATTTTGAAAAAAGTAAATAAAATGATAAAATTCTTCGAGTATGTGTTATTCATGGCTTTGAAAAACAAAAATAAAAAGCTAAGATTCTGTTAAAAAAGATTCGGATATCATTCTAACCGCTGAGTAATGACGCGTTTATTTATAGTCGATTGCCTTCCCGACCCAATAAACATTTCTTTACATATGTTCACCAATAAAATAATTTTCTGAAAATATTGTAAAAAAATATAAAAAAAACATATTGAAAATACTCACATCAGGCTCTTGTCACTCGGCGTTATACATTTTTTCGAGCTGTCTCGTTATGGCCCCGCTTACGTAGACGATCACAAACAGATAGGGGTCGCTTTAGTATAGCTACACCGAGATCGAAACTTGAAGTATATACCATTCGATTCGTCTCGACGAGCTGAGTTCAAATATGCAAGAATTTTCTGCGGGAGACGAAAACTCGCAGAGATACAGGCCCCCGAAAATTGAAAAACCATAGGGGGGGGGTAAGCTGATTTTTGGGGTCAAAAATTCGAATATGCAAATGATAGCTCATTTGAAAGAGCTCGACGAGCTGAGTCAAATGTCACCAAAATCACCGTGATTGAACAAGATTAGACAAAGTTATGATACAAAAAAACCTAAACCTATGGGGCGACGGCGAGGCGCTTGTGCAAAACCCCGCGCTTCGCGCGGGGTTTTGCGGCACGCGCCTCGCGGGGAGTCTACGGGCGCTGGGTCTGGGCTCGTAACATAAACCTATTTCTATCTCCCTTGCTCTGGACGTATTTGGGGCCTCCGTAGCAGCAAAATCTCCACAGATCCCATAGGTAAGGAGCTAAGATAAAAGATCATAACTTTGTCCAATCAAGTCGGATTTCGTTGATTTTGGTGTCATTCGACTCAGCTCGAAAAGCTCTTTCGAATGAGCTATCATTTGCATATTCGAATTTTTGACCCCAAAAATCAGCTTACCCCCCCCCCCCCCCCTATGGTTTTTCAATTTTCGGGGGCCTGTATCTCTGCGAGTTTTCGTCTCCCGCAGAAAATTCTTGCATATTTGAACTCAGCTCGTCGAGACGAATCGAATGGTATATACTTCAAGTTTCGATCTCGGTGTAGCTATACTAAAGAACAGCCAACAGATACTATCACACGAAGAAAATACAATGAAGGTTGAGGTATGCAGAAACTAAGGAAAAGAAGAAGAACTATTGGCTGGCTTTTATACTAAACTGTTTTAAGGGCTCTTGCCCATACACAACATGTCTAACGAAGAAATTTTTTTTAAAAATGCTACAAAATAATAGGTACAAGTTAACACTTTGATTCAACAATATTTCACGTAATACATGAAAATAAATATGAAAATCAAACTAAAAATATTTCTTTTAATTGTTATATGTATATTCTTCAATTTTCACTTCCTTTTTCATTATCCTCCACTTCTTTGGATTGTCATTTTAAACTGAAATTATATGATAGTAGTGATTAATTTTTCATGAAACTTAATTTTCTTTTGTCGTATAGTGAGGGTATTTTTAAATTAAATTGAAGAGAAAGAAAACTAAAAAAATTTCAAAATTTGATATAGCCCATGTTTAATTTAATTTTTAAATTAACCTTTATCGAGATAAATTAAAGGTAAAAAAATAAACATTTCTTTATGTTCACCAGTAAAATAATTTTCTGAAAATTTTGCGTTAAAAACTGTGCTTTGTTCTTTTTCGGCTTCTTCCAATGAAATAATCATACTTTTACGTTCTGAAATTTGTCAATCAAAATTTTATTAAATGGGGTTATGAATCCTGAGAGAACTCTACTCACCCAAAGTGACCTTCTCCCGTTGAACCTAAAAACTTATCATTCGATTCGTTTCAATGAGCTGATTCGAAAAGGACCACTCTCTATTCTGTAGACAGAGATATACATAAGTCGCTGAAAATCAAAAACCATAAGGGAAGTTCATTTTTGCGGTACAAAATTTGAATATGCAAATCATAGCTAATTCAAAAAAGCTCATTTATCTGAGTCGAACGCCACCAAAATCAGTGTGATTGAGCAATGTTAGAATAAAAAAATATTTCTATAGCCGATATTCGGAGACCTCTATCTCGCTCGATCCAAAGGCATTTCAGTAAATAGAGAGTGGTTTCGTTCGACTCAGCTCGCCTAGACTAATCGAATGATATGTGTTTCTTATCGAAATTTCGCCTCTGGTATACTATACCCTTTTATTTCTTACCAAATTTTTTTTCATAAAATTCAAAAATAATATTTTTTGCTTGTAAAATATTCAATTTTTCTATTAAACTCTTAAATTTGTCAGCGGCTTCTTTTAATTCATCAACAGCTTTTTCGTATTTTTTGATTGAAATTTCCTCTCTTAAAAAATATATTATAATAATATTAAAAAAATAATTTTTTTTTAGCATTTCCAATTAAAAGGACTTTGAATTTTTCTATTTTTTGGGGTTGTAACTTGCGAGTTTGGTTGGAATTGCTGGAACTAGAAAATGTCTAGGTCCAATAAACCAGTCCAATAAGGATTTTGAGTTAACCACTCGCCGCTACTTAACTACCCCTACCCCGCTTTTATAATACGGCCCCAGGTTATCGGGGCTCTGTAACGACCAAAAATTTATTTAACCGCGGAACCGTTTAGTATCACAATGGGAACACAGAATAAAAATTTTTTGTGTAATGTTAAAAAAGAAACTATTATCATTAATCAAAACACAAATTTAGCTACCTATTATCAGTAAGGCCAAATCTATAATAACTAAACAATTCATTCTTGTAATAATTATTATTTTTTCTGAAGAATTCAGTAAACGATTTAACAAGCATTTGAGTAAAAACAATTAAATGCCAAAATATAAAAATATTTTTTTCAACGTTTGTAATATTTTTACAGTTTCTATAAATCAAAAATGAGGCTCTTTTTGTCCAATAATCTTCTTCGTTTTTTCTAAAATATATAAATTAAAATTCTAATTAGAGTAGGAGTGAGGTAAAAGTTTAATCGCGGGCAGGCTTCGATCCTGCGACCTCTTGGCAGTTATTGCTTGGCGCTTCCGCTCACCACGTACAGGTGCTCTACCAATTGAGCTATCGGGACGCTGCTTTCACCTTCTCTTTTATTAGATCTTAAACTCCCGCCTAGTGAGCGTTTTACATAAATGCTAGCCAGCTGGATCATTCTCGGTAATATTCAATTTCGTACCCCCCCCCTCCTTTTTCCTTTTTCAAAGTATTATAAAATGGTCAGTCAGACTTAGATTATAGAACTCGTCGAGCTGTGTCGAATGACACCAAAATCAAAAAAATTGGACTCGATTTGACCGAGATACAGACCCCTGAAAATTGAACAACCATAGGGGCGAAAACCCATAAGGACGAAAATTCATACAAATGATAGCTCATTCGAAAGAGCTCGTCGTTCTGAGTCGAATGACACAGAAATCAACGTGATTGGACAAGATTTGATAAAGTTATGACATAAGTCGCCGACTCCGTTAGGTCTACATAATATCATAACTTTGTCAAACCATGCCTAATCACGTTGATTTTGGTGTCTTTCGACTCATCTTGACAAGCTCTTTCGAATGAGCTATCATTTGGATAAAATTTTTTTATTTAAAAAAATCGCCCCTATGGTTGTTCAATTTTCAGGGGTCTGTATCTCGGTCAAATCGAGTCCAATTTTTTTGATTTTGGTGTCATTCGACGCAGCTCGACGAGTTCTATAATCTAAGTCTGACTGACCATTTTATAATACTTTGAAGAAGGAAAAACGAGGGGGGGGGGTACGAAATTGAATATTACCTCATTCTCTTCCTTACATTAGTCTCAACAATATTTCTCTTAAAATCAGAGGTGGGTCGGAATTCTGACTTCCGATTTCCGACGTTTTTTTCCTTCCGATTTCCGAAAAAATTTTCATTTCCGGCAGTTCCGATTTCCGGCACACCTCTGACTGTTCCAACCCACCTCTGCTTAAAATTAGTCTAAATAAATATTACATTATTTTATTCAAGTTTTTCATAGCCTCCTCATACATTTCTTTATTAGTATTAAAATCTTTATTTCCCACCAAAAGGTTCCCTACAGTACTTTCACAATTTTTCAGAAAATCATTATAATCTTTTGTATTCATTGCTAAACTTAAATCACTCAGTCTTTTCTCGATAATTTCTTTTTTAAACTTTTCTTGAGATTTGTGAGTTTCTTTATTATAAACTTCTTCGGGTAATGCATTTAACATATTTGTATAATAAACAGTAACCTTAAAAAAATTGACAAAAATAATTAATTTATTGTAAATTTTAGTAATTTTAGAAATGAGTGAGACTTTCAGTCATTATGATCTTTTATAATACATATAGTATACAAAACAATTGTAGATCCTCGGATCTACAACTCTTCAACAACTGCTCATTTCTAAAAAATTCCAAACGGCCTTTTAATTTTCGCCAAAAATATCAAATTTTTTGCTATTAAAATTTACCAGTGGAACCCTTGACCGGGAATGTTTTCAATCCGTTTTCAATCAAACCCCATCCCTGTAGGATATTTAAATTTTGGAAATCTTTATGGATTGCCTTAAAGCTCGGTTAAATTTAAATTAAGATTAGGGTAGCAACCTGATACTGACGATTTTCTCTGGCAAAAACCCCGACCCCAACCCCGAAGGCTCTACCCCAACAAATCCTTATCCCCGAACTTTTGACCCCTAAGGGTCGGTAGCTACCCTAATTAAGATGTATACCTTATGAATTTTATTAATTGTTCCTTTAAAATGAAACAAATAATTTTTCTCTGTTTGTAACAATTTTGGTAAGGAATTTAATTCATTCTCCATAATCGAAATAATATTCCTTGTTGATTTATCAATTATTTTTTCCACTCCAATTTTATTTAATAAATTAATTAAAAAAGAAATTTCGACGAGCGAAAATTTCATTTTAGGAATTGAAATATTCTGTTGAGAATTTTCGAGTTTGTTGGTGTTTTTTGAAGAAGAGCTTTCCCCTTCCAATTTCTGTCTCTTTGGGGCTTTAAATTATTTTTAAATTTTAGAATTTAATTTAAAATTTAATTCAAACTTATAAAGATTTTAAAAACACAACATAGAAGATAACGGATTTTAATTTTTAAAGTTCCCCAAAGTTAGGTATTTTTTAAAAATGAAATTAGAGTTAATTAATCCTTCCTAAAAAATCAAAATTTATTAGAATATCTCATCGGAACAAAAAAATAAATATTTTTTTGTTTCTGAAGAATAAGATTATTTTTCTATTAAATCATTAAAACGTTTCCTCAATTTCTCTCAAATCTGAAGATGGTAAAAACACAAAAGACAAATAAATCACAATTACACTCTGTCAGAAAATTATAAGCACCCCCTAGTTTTTGAATAAAAATATAGTTAAGGTTAAAATATCATAGTTCTAAATATTTTTAGGATTTTCTGATGCATATTGAACAGAAAAAAACAATCATTGATAAATTAAATATGGATAGTAGAGAAAATAAATGAAATTTAGTTAAAACGACTGTCAGATAATTATAAGCACCCCTAAGGTTTAGACATTAGGAGTCGTCCGAAAAATCTACAAAAATTCCTGTGAACATATTTAGTGATGTGAATTAAAAATACAAAAGAAACTAAGTTCTAACATAACCCCTACATCAAGATCCACAAACTCGAAAATCAACGGAAAACAGGGGGTAGACGTCTTTAAAAAATATTTTCGACTCCTTACAGGTGAAATAATAATTTTATTTTGGGCTTATTGGAAAGCCCTTGAAATTTGCTACAAGATAGTTTTCATCTCATAATCCAAAAAATATTCTTCTTTGAGAAATAATGAGATTAGTTTTTAAGTTACATTTTCATCACTTTTTGGGGGGCGTTTGAGTGATTTTTATGACCTGAAAGTTTATCACATCATGTCTTAAAGGTGAATTTTTTTCGAAAAATAAAATTAATGCTATCTTGTAGCAAATTTCAAGGGCTTTCAAATAAGCCCAAAATGAAATTTTTATTTCACCTGTAAGGGGTTGAAAATATTTTTTAAAAACGTCTACCCCCTGTTTTCCGTTGATTTTTGTGTTTTTGGATCTCGATGTAGGGGTTATGTTAGAACTTAGTTTCTTTTGTATTTTTAATTCACATCACTAAATATGTTCACAGGAATTTTTGTAGATTTTTCGGACGACTCCTAATGTCGAAACCTTAGGGGTGCTTATAATTATCTGACAGTCGTTTTAACTAAATTTCATTTATTTTCTCTACTATCCATATTTAATTTATCAATGATTGTTTTTTTCTGTTCAATATACATCAGAAAATCCTTAAAATATTCAAGACTATGATATTTTAACTTTAACTATGTTTTTATTCAAAAACTAAAGGGTGCTTATAATTTTCTGACAGAGTGTATAAACCCATTTTCAAATTTACTATAAAAAATTCGAAAACTTGAATTATTTTATCAAAAAACAGACAAGTTCAATGGACTACTATACCTTTGTTTTTAAAGTTATTGAAGTTTAACATATCGGACAGATCACAAAAACTTGGTTATAACCCTACTCGAACCTTGAAGAATTCGAGTATAAAGACAAGAATTACCTGGATTTTCCATTTCATTAGTTAAATAAAATTGTGTTATAATTAAAATTAAAAAATAAATATTCATTTTTCTTAATTAATAATAAAATTAAAAAAAAATTTTTTTGTTAAAGCAATGAGCGAGGGATTGGGGGGGGGGGGGGGGGATGAGATAAATTAAAAGAAAAATAAATTATGAAATAAAAATCTAAAGTCAATAATAAAAATAAATTTAAAATTTTGAAATATAAAGAAAGGGCATAAAAATCCATAAAATTAATTTATTGAGAAAATCTTGTCTAACAAAAACGGAAGGGCAAAATTTCAAAATAAAAAATTCAAAGAAATTGTTGATTTAAATATTATTCTTTTGTATCTCCTCAGAAAATTTTGTATCTTATCAGTGTATGTAACCGGCAAAATCTATCTTTCCGGACCCGATTCAGTATTTTCAACTTGAGCCGGACCGAATCCGTCCGGATTTTTCCGGATTAATCTGTTCCTGTTTTAATCCGAAGATTGCGAAAAACTTCGCAATTGGGACCCGGCCTCCGGGAAAATCCCCGCTCCAGCCCCGGTCAACAATTTAAATTGGAAAAACTATTGGTTACTGCTTAGACATATTGCCGTTATTTTATTTTAAAATTTTTTTTTAATTTTTAAATTAAATTATTAATTACATACAATTTTTAATTAAATTTTTAATCAACTATTTTTAAATAGCAATAAGATAAAAATTAGAGAGGAGGAGAGGGACCTTCTCTATAATTTTCACTCAATAAATCGAAAATCAACACGTCTTAATACGTGTATAAATATTTAATTTCAAAATAAGAATTAGTGTTTTTGCCTAAACAAAATGAACAACTTAATTACTGAATAATTGTTTGGATGTTCGTACCTGTGTAAAAGTACAAATTAAAAATTAGAATGACTAGTATAGTATTTAACAGGCATGGTCATGGATACGGATACAGATAATATCAAAATGCCTGCGGATATCCGCCTGTATCCGTCGTAAATGTGCGAATACGGATACCAAGATCAGTATCCGTGACCATGCCTGGTATTTAAACCTTTTACTATAAAAGCCTCATATAATTATCAGTCCGTGTCTCCTAATGGTTTATCCTAAATACTCCAGCCTTAGTCTATTTCATCAACTTTTGTTGTATTTCTATTGTGTAATAAACACATTATTGTATTGCTTCTTTATTGTTGTACAAGGATATACATAAATATGTTCGAATAATATAGAAAGAGTTTGCAAAAGTTTAGCCACCGGGCAGGATTCACTTGTTGTTGCTTTGCGCTTTCGCTCACCATATGCAGGAGCTCTACCTCTGAGCTACCGAGCAGACCTGGGCGAAACTCAAAATTTTTTTCTGACGAAACGAAACGAAACAAAATTTTTTAAAAATCGTTTCGTTAACGAAACGAAACGAAACAACCAAAATCTTACGAAACGAAACGAAACAAAACGAAACATTTTAATATTCAAAAAATTTTCAAAACTGCATTTATTTCGCAATTATTCGACCTCAAATACTTTATTAGTCGCCTATGCCTTATAAATTAGAGCCCGGACGGAGGGCTCGGTCGATATTTTTTTGATAAATACCGAAAAATACCGAATATCGAAAAATATCGAAAAAATCAAAATTTTCTCGGTCGATATTTTTTCGATAATATCGAAAAATATATATCGAAAAATATCGAAAAAATATCGTATCGAGCCGGGCTCTATTATAAATGATTTAGTTATTGGTTTATTTACAACAATTGTGTCCCATAAGCCAGGCCCGTAGCAAGGAAAATTTTCGGGGAAGGGGGGGGGGTCAATCATTTTCGAAGCCGAATTTTTGGCGACGCTTTTTTTCAAATAAGATTGAATATTTTTCAAGTAAAATTTTATTTTAAGCGCCGCAGACGAAAAATTTTAAAATTTTGAAAGGCCGTAGGCCAAAAAATTCACTAGCTTGCTCCATTGCCTACCCAAATTGTCTCCATATCTCCATTTCGAGAGGAAGGCGATATAAGCTAGTGCTTCGCCGGAAGTTCCGGTTCCAGTATTTCCGCAACTCGCAATCCGCAATTTTTAAATTATGATGCGAGTCCGGTAATAGAATTTGTCGTCTATTAAGTAATATGTATATGTGGATTAGGGAGTAGAGTATAAACGGATTTGTAGTATATAAGTAATTGATATCTTCCTTTTTCAGCGCCGCAGGCGAAAATTTTGACAATTTGGGAAGGCCAAGAAGCCGAAATTCTTCTTTTTTCAGCGCCGCAGGCGAAAATTTTTTAAATTTTCAATAAAAGATGGTAAATTTTATAGATTTTGGCCTTAGTTTAGGCTTAAAAAATTGTTTCGTTTCGTTGAAAAATCACAGGTGTTTCGTAACGAAACGAAACGAAACAAATTTAAAAGTGTTTCGTAACGAAACGAGACGAAACAGTAAAAATCATACGAAACATACGAAACAACGAAACGAAACGAAACGTTTCGCCCACGTCTGCTACCGAGGCATCGACTAATGCTTTCTCTTTTTCCTTTTTAGATCGTTTAGCGTAAAAGTACTGCTGGGTGAATCATCCTTACAATATGCTAAAAACACCTTCTACATAGACTAATAATTTTAAATTTTATCCTTTTAAAGTTTACTATAATGTGGTTTTAAATTTAAACAAGATGAATAATTTTAGTTTGGAACGTGGGAAATTAATGAAAAACTTTACAATTCAGTTTAATTCAAAATATAACAAAATATGACAAACTACTAAATAGTTTATACATACATATAAGGGGTGCAGGTAGTAATAGCGAATATTGGATGGATTTTTGTGTTAAATAAATGATATAAAATGATAATTTTTACTTAGCGGAAAGAATATATTTTTACTTTTGAATATTTTAAATAAAATCATATGAAAGTTATATTTAAATAAATATAGTCGTTTGCCAGAATTCTTTTGTGACTTCTACTTTTGGCGTTGAAATTCTTCTAGTTTTTAAGAAATATGTTCAATATCATCAGGATAACTTTCAATAAACATATAATCCCCATCAACACTCTTCACAGCCAATCTGTACATATTATGTTTATTTATTCCATTTTCTACAGTTGCTTGAACAAATTTTTGGTCATCCAATTTAACACTAACTACTTCCCCAACTTGAAAGAATTTTCGGATATCTACAGGATGTACTTTTAAAAGTTTAGATTGTCCATCTACCTCCACTAAATAATTATTTTCTGTTTCCCTTCCAATAATTTCATTTCCCTCAACAATATCCTTAGCTACCCCCTTTACCCACAACTTTTCATAATTCCAAACTTCCACAATTTCACCAACTTTAAACGAAGCAATTTCAATTTTACTTAACTCATCTCTATGTCTATAAACAGTTTTCCCAAATTTTGGATTTCTTTTTATTGTCAAAATAAAATCTTTAAATTTAATTCCGATTATTTCTGCTAATTCCAATGCTTCCTTTTTATGTGTTTTTTCTGCTCTAACAAATTCGCCAATTTGGAAAGTTTTTTTAATATTTTTTGAATTTAATTCATTTTGTGTTGTTTTATGTATACTTGTAATTTCAACCATATAATTTCCATTTCCCAAAACTTCGATTACTTTTCCCATTTGCCAAATATAGTGTCCAAGTTTTTTAGAATTCATTCCCACAAGTACTATTTCTCCAACGACGTATTCCTGTCTTAATAACAAAACAAAATCATAAGTTATAAAAAATATTCAACTGTCCAAACAATCTTTGGCCTATCATATTTGGCCTATCTGCATTTTATGGGTCTGATCCAGATATGGATGATTTATATGTCATTCGAAGGAGCTCGACGAGCTTAGTCGAAAGACACCAAGATCACCGTGATTAAACAAGATTAAACAAAGTTACGACAGAAAAACGAGCAACTTACGCCTATGGGGCATCGTCGAGGCACTTGTGCAAAACCCCGCGCTTCGCGCGGGGTTTTGCACACGCGCCTGGCGGGGAGTCAATGGTCGCTGGGTTCTGTGCTCGTAACATAAACTTATGCCTATTTTAGCTGCGAGCGGCATGTCTGGCTTCCTCCCCAGCAACAAAAACCTGCACGTAGACCAAAAGCAAGGAGCTAAACCCCATAACTGCTAATTATGGGGATCCTCGAAAATCCTCGGTTCGTTTCGTGCCACACCCGACAACCCTCTCCTAGCTTTTTTTAACACGATAAGATTTACATACTCTTTAGGAAGAGCAGGCATTTTCTCATTTCTGTTATCAGACCATATTCCATTATCCAAGACATAGAGCGGCAAACCTTTTGTTAATTTTTGTTTTCCTTTTGAGCTTGATCCTTCCTCTATTTGCCCTTAAAATATAAATCGTTTGCTAAAAACCTTAAGGAATTTGTCAGGAAAATTTCTATCATTAACTAGGGAATGAATCTTCCCATAAAAATATTTATAAAATTAAATACATAAAACTTCTCCCAGATTAAATTGTACTCCAAAACTTTCCGTAGTGTAAAATAAAAAAATTGGAAAAGAAAAACAAACAATTTCTTTGATGTTCCATTCCATTAATTAATTCATATATTTTTATTTCAAGAAATAAAAATAAATAAAATAATAAAAATATTCTCATTTTTTAAAATGAATTAATTTAAATAAATATATGTAGTAACTAAATTAAAAATATAGATTTAATTATTCTATTTCCAGTGCCGGCAATATATTTATTTATGAAGTTGAGTGGCAAAAAAGGATTATAATCCTCAACAATTAATCTCCCTTTGTAATTTAGTTCAGATATATTATAACTAGGGTTAGCCAAAACATGCAAATACATGTTTTGTATGCGGTTATGCCTTGAGCTGAGAAGCCAAAAAATTATGAGTTTAATATAGCTCCGACCATTTTAAGAGCCGGTTCTTAATCCATATTTTTGCTTATTTTGGAGCTTTCGTGCATATGTATTTGAATATTTTGGCATTTTTTTGTTCATATTCGTCATCTTTTGTAAAATTTTACCAAAAATAGTCAAAATTTTCAAAATTCTGGAATTTTTGGCAAAAAATTTTTTACCAAAATCTTTTAATTTTAAGTCCATAAATTCTTTTAAAAGTGTTCTTAAATTGCAATTTTAACGGCTAACTTTCTCTGTATATTTTTACAAAATATACATTCCTGCTTACTACCTTAAACATTTTTCAGAAAAATTTTTTCCAAGAAAATCTCATATCAGAATTTTTTGCATTTTTTGGAGTGCTTTTTTGAACATTGGGAGAAGTTGAAATTTTACGAACGCTGTAACTCTTGGAAAAATGTTTCATAATAGAATTGCATTTATAAATTCTGAAAGAGTCTTAACCTCAAGTAAGTTAGAAAGAGAGATTAATTATTGAGGATATTTTGGTGATAATTCTTTTTTTGCCAATCTACCGCATAAACATATTGCCGTTACTGTATTTTAAATATTTTAAATTAAATTATTAATTTAAATCTTTAATTAGGTTTTTAATAAGCTATTTTTAAATGGCAATGAGGCATAAATTAGAGAAGAGGAGAGGGACCTTCTCTATAATTCTCACTCAATAAATCGACAATCAACGCGTCTTAATACGGGACACGGACACTATGGCGCGGGCCACTATGGCGCGACCACTATGGCGCGACCACAATGGCGCAGGCCACTATGGCGCAAGCCCAATATCCCACAAATCTTTATCTAAAAGCGGATTAATTTATTGGGATCAGCCCAGAAGGTAAAAATCCAGAAGATCAAGACCCAGAAGGTCAGGTCAAATTACCAATCGAATACAAATTCTGGATGGAAAAAGAGTTTGTTCATATTAAGACGGATTTGGGCGGATTAAGACGGATTTGTCGGGATTAGGGGGGATGAAGGGATATATGACGGAAATAAACTCGTGCAACTGTCGGACAATGCAAAAGAACACATATATAATCAGACTCATAACAATGCCAGACTTTTGCGGACCTTATTTTTAATTTAAAGCCTTGCGCCATAGTGGTCGCGCCATAGTGGGCTTGCGCCATTGTGGTCGCGCCATAGTGGCCCGCGCCATAGTGGGCCGTACCCTCTTAATACGTGTATAAATATTAAATTTCAAAATAAAAATTGGTGTTTTTGCCCAAACAAAATGAACAACTTAACTATTACATAATTGTTTGGATGTTCGTTCCTGTGTACAAATACGAGTAAAACAAATTAAAAATTAGGATAACGGAGGCAAAATTTCGATTTAAAACCTATACTGTTCGACTCGTCTCGGCGAGCTGAATTGTGAACGATAACATTCTCTAGTTAAGGAAATGCCCGTTAACCAAGGTATAGGTTCCCAAAAATTGAAAAAGTACAGAGGAGAGAGTAGCTCTTTTTTTGGGTAAAAACTTGAATATGCATTTGAAAGAGCTCGTTGAACTGAGTCGAAGGTCACAAAAATCAACGAACTCTAACAATTTTGGGCAAGTTAAGATCGTTTGGTTTAGCCCCTTACCTACTATGGTCTTCGTGGAGGTTTTTGCTGCTGCGGAGGAAGCCGGGCATGTCCAACACAGCGATAATTGGAAAATTTCGAATATCCGGAACTTTTTTTAGATAAATATTTTTTTGAAAATGTGAAGGAATGGACAGTATGTATTTATTTGTTTTAACTTTTTAGTACTCAACCGATCAACTTGTTTTAAATAACGGAAGTTTCATCGCAGAAATTTTATCGCAATAAATAATTTCTTCAATTTTTATTACTCTCGATTGGTGTAAATTTTTCCTCTCAAGAGTTTTAATCTGATACGATTATAATAATATTACAGACAAACAAATATAAAATTTTCACCGTAATATTGAGCCGGACAGACCCCTTTTTTCCTCCCCAATTTTCCCCTATATTTTTGCGGCTGTACTGTAGTGTAGCACCCACTCCAAAAAATTTCAAAACACATAGCATTCGATTCGTCTCGGCGAGCTGAGTTGAATGGTACCACTCTCTTTCTGCGGAAATGCCTAAGAGCTGAGATATAGGTCCTTAAAAATCGGAAATCCAAAGAGGGGACTAAGCTGATTTTTGGGGTCAAAAATTCGAATATGCAAATGGCAGCTCATTCGAAAGAGATCGTCGAGCTGAGTCGATTGACACAAAAATTAACGAAATCCGACTTGATTTGACAAAGTTATGAGTATTTGATTTAGCTCCTTACCTTTGGTCTAAGTGCAGGTTTTTCTTGCTAAGGAGGAAGCCAAACATGCCGACCGCAGCTAAAATAGGCATAAGTTTATGTTACGAGCCCAGACCCAGCGCCCGTAGACTCCCCGCGAGGCGCGTGCCGCAAAACTCCGCGCGAAGCGCGGAGTTTTGCACAAGCGCCTCGCCGACGCCCCATAGGTTTATGTTGCGATTTATTGTCGAACTTTGCCCAATCTTGTTCAATCATGGTGATTTTAGTGTCTTTCAACTCAGCTCGACGAGCTCTTTCGAATGAGCTATCATTTGCATATTCAAATTTTTGCCCCCAAAAATCAGCTTGGTACCCCCTATGGTTTTTGACCCTTTTGAGCTCTATATCTCAGCTCTTAGGCATTTCCGCAGAAAGAGAGTGGTACCATTCAACTCAGCTCGCCGAGACGAATCGAATGATATGTGTTTTGAAATTTTTTGGAGTGGGTGCTACACTACAGTATATCCATTTTTGCAAAATGGTCAGACTTTTTCCTTTCTTCCATCCAAATTGCTTTTCTAATTTTACCTACAATCAAACAAAAAGGATTATTTTTGACATTTTATTTACTGATTTTTATGCAAGAAAGGCAATTTGGATGGAAAAGAACAAGTCTGACCATTTTGCAACAATATAGGGAAAAACTTGGATAGGAAAAAGGGGGTCTTTCCGGTTCAATATTGCCAATTCCACTCAATTTTTTACCGATTTTAATTTTTAAATTTTTTTCTCCAAATTTTCAGTTGTTGATTAAAAAACAATGAGATTTCCATTAATTTGTCGACGTTTTGCCTCAACTTATGGGTTTTCTTAATTAATTTTTTTTTAATTTTTTTCTCTTTAAAGAGGTCTGACTTCTGAACAATTTATGAAAAATCCTTTAAATGAGCCTGTTTTGAAGTATCTTAAAGGAAGTGAAGAGCGAAAAGCGTTGGAAGCAGAATTGGACATTTTGTCCCAAAATGTTGTCCAAGTACCTTTGGTAATTGGAGGGAATAAATTATTTAGGAAGGAGAATAGCCGTAAACAAATTATGGTTTTTTTTAATTTTTTGACTGAAAAAATTTTGTTTTAGCCCTTTAATCATAGCAATACAATCGCTCATTTTAATTATGCTACGGCTGAGGATATTGAAGAAGCAATTAAAGTTGGAATGGGGGCACGTGAAGCTTGGGAACGGAAATCTTTAAAGTTTGATTTTTTAATTATTCGATGTTGTGTTTAAATGTTTAGGAGTGGGGTGTGGGGACCCCTTTCTCGTGTTTAGATTTTTGAGAAGGGAGTGGAGGGGGTAGGGGTGTGGTGGCCCCTTTTCAGATTTTGACTTTTCTCTTGTCTTGTATTATATTTTAATTAGAGATCGGCATGGGTCTGGACCAAGGCCTGGGTTTTTCCCGTACCCTGATTCCAGGCCCAGGCATTTTTTGACCTTCCTGGTTTTTCATGGACTACAGGCCCAGGACCCAGCCCATGACAATAAATCAGTCCCGGAGCCTTGCAGCAGGTCATTTAAAATTTTTAAAATTTTCGATCTTGAATTTTAATAAACTCAATTTCTATTTTATTCCTCGCTATTTTATTAAAATTTACTAAACTTAGGGAACGTGCTGACATTTTCTTACATGCAGCTGATTTATGTGCTGGCAAATATCGAATGCGTTTGAATGCTGCAACTATGCTGGGACAAGCAAAGAATATACAACAAGCAGAAATTGGTTAATTTTAAATTTTTTTAAACATAGTTTGATGTCTTTTGAATTAATTTAGTAATCACTTAAGATTCCTCTTTCAAGTCAAATTTTCACTTTTTTGGCCCTGACTCCCTTTTACCCAAAAAATTTTTTTTGAATTAAAATTATTTTTTTCTCTCTTTTTTTAGATTCTGCCTGTGAACTTGTCGATTTTCTTCGTTTCAATGCTTACTTTGCTTTTGAAGTAGCTAGTTATCAACCAATTTCTACTAAAATTTATTCTGATAGTTTAATCTATAGAGGATTGGAGGTTTATTTTTCTTTAAAAAATTTGATGGAAAATATTTTTAAGGGTTTTGTTGCTGCAATTGCTCCATTCAATTTTACGGCAATTGGAGGGAATTTGGCAACAGCTCCGGCTTTAATGGTTTTTTATTTTTGTTTTTTTTCTTGGGGTTATTTTAGTTTATGCATATATTTTAGTTAATACATATAAGCATAATTTACATTTGGATCGAGATTTTTACATTTGGATCGAGATCAGAATTTTTATAAGGCATGAGCTTGTTCTTGGTTCTGGATTTGATTTATTGACCTGGACAGGATCCTGAGTCTGTAGTCTAGGAAAAACCCAGGCCTTGGTCCAGACCCAGTTCGATCTCCATTAGGGACCTTAAAAAGGAAAAAGTCCTATTTAAATAAATTATAAATTTTTCACAACAATAAATTTTATTTCTTACCCTTTTTTCCTCGACAGAAAAGACAAAAGCTTTTCTCTTTAGGAGGTTACCTTCTATTTTTTTGCATTTTAAAATATTAGAAAATTGTTTTTCAGGGAAATGTTGTTTTATGGAAACCGTCAGACACGGGTTTCTGGCTTTTTTATTTAAAAAAATATTCTTTTTTTCTAGCTGTTCTTTCCAATTTTATTGCTTTTGAGGCGCTTTTGGAAGCAGGAATCCCTCCTGGTGTAATTTCATTTTTACCTTCTGATGGTCCAACTTTTGGGAATACAATCTGTTCAAATCGTCATTTGGCTGGAATTAATTTTACTGGTTCAATGCCCACTTTTTTGTATTTGTATAATTCTGTGGCTAAAAATATGGGGAAATATGTAACATTTCCACGATTGGTTGGAGGTTTGTTTGTTTTTTGAAAATTCAGATTTTTTTGAAAAAATCTAAAATATTCTGAAAATTTTTAATTGCTTGTTTGTCGAACATGACCGATATCCTTGCTCCTACCAGTCTCGTAGTAGCTTTTAGCGCCAAAAATTTTGCGCTTTTCCCCCTTGCCCCCCTGAAAAAAATCCTGTCTACGGGCCTGGCTTTACTCTACTCCTTTAATCCAATCCTAGAATAAATTATTCAAATCTAAAAAACAGAACTTATTCATCACTGGGCCACAAAATATTCCCTCCCTGCCACTCCAAGGGAAGAATATTTTTTGGCTTTCTAGTCTGAAAATATTTTTTTTCGGCAATTTTTTCCTTTAACAAAAATTTAATATTTCTTTTTATTTTTAAGAATGTGGAGGTAAAAATTTCCATTTTGTTCATCCTTCAGCAAATATTAATATTGTTGTTCCTTGTACTCTTCGAGCTGCTTATGAATATCAGGGACAAAAATGTAGTGCTTGGTTGGTATTTTTTAAATTTCTTTTAAAAAATAATTTTCTTTTTCCAAGTTCTCGCTTTTTTGTTCCCCAAAGTTTATGGCCAAAAATAAAAGAAGGATTAATTAATTTGGCTAGCCAAGTAAAAATGGATGATGTAAGTAGAGGAGTTTTTTTGATTTTCTTTCAAAAAATTAAATTTTAAAGGTTCGGGACGGCTCAGTTTTTATGTCAGCAGTAATTGATGATAAAGCTTTTAAACGTATAAAATCTTATATTGATTTTGCGAAAAGTGGGAATGATGGAATGGAAATTATTTTTGGAGGAAAATGTGACGATTCTAAAGGATATTTTGTTCAGCCAACAATTATTGAAGTTAAAAATGTTAATTCGAAATTACTTACTGAGGTTTCAGTTTAATTTTTATATTTTATTAATAGGAATATTTTTAAGTAGTAAGGGGCAAGGGCGTAGCCAGGTGGGCTTCTGGGGCTATAGCCCTCCTGAAATCGACCTCCTGGCTACTAGTGATGTTCGAGAGTCAAAAAATCCCGAGAGTCGAGAGTCGAGACCGAGACCGAGAATCAACCCCGAGACCGAGACCAAAACGAGAGTCGAGACCGAGAGTCGAGACCGAGAGATTAAGAGGGATATCACTTGATGTCCCTCCTAATCCCCAAAAATCCCTTGATATACCTCAAAATCCCCATACTCGCTTGAATCCACTTGTCCACAATATATATTCAATGATATTCACATTAATCTCTTAAAATCCCCTCATATCCTTCCATATCCCTACAAATCCAACAATATCTTTTTGATCCATCGATGCACCCATCCCTTGATATTAAATTTTATCCTTCAGAATCCACAGTATCTAATATACCACAAACCACAAAATCTAATCCTTTAATCTTATTAAATTCAAATTTTTGCTGCATTTTTGGCGCCGCAGGCGAAAATTTTTTGAATTTTGGAGCTCAAGAAGCCAAATTTCCTCCATTTTCAGCGCCGCAGGCGAAAATTTTGAGAATTTTGGAGCTCAAGAAGCCAGATTTCTTCCATTTTTCAGCGCCGCAGGCAAAATTTTGGGAATTTTGGAGACTTTTCCTTAAAAATTTTAATATCAAAGTACGCAAGGTCCGAGTAAAGTTCAAAAAATTTCCGTCATTAGGGGTGTAAATTTAGTCTCGTTTTCCGAGACCAAAACACCGAGACCGAGACCGAGAGCTCAAAAAACCCGAGAAATTTCTCGACTCGAGAGTCGAGACCGAGAGTCTCGAACATCACTACTGGCTACGCACTTGCATGGGAGTATCTAGATGGTGGAGGGAGGCATAGCTACGCCTTTGTTGTTTTTCCCTATTTAAATTAATTAAAATTAAAATGAAGGATTTTTTACCGTTAAAAAGTTTCTTTTGCAAATTTATTCGACAGACAGACACGAAAATCTAAAAATTCTCTGAGAAAACTAGGAAGAAGACTTCAAGAAGACTCTAAGATTGAAATATAAATTAATCAAAATTAAATTAAAAATTATTTTTAAGGAAATTTTTGGTCCAGTTTTGGCCGTGTATGTTTACCCTGATGGTGAAGAACTTAAATATTTAAAATCTTTGAAAAATTCGACTCCATATGGATTGACTGGAGCTGTTTTTGGAGAGGATAAGTAATCAAAAATTAATTTAAATTTTAAAAAAATTTGAAATTTTTTAAAGACAATTTCTTGAAATTGCTAAAGATGTTCTTCGAGATGCTGTCGGTTAGTTTAAAAAATTTTTGGGAAATTTTTTTTGAAATTTATTTTTAAGGTAATCTTTATTTGAACGATAAATGTACTGGGGCAGTTGTTGGCCAACAACCGTTTGGAGGGGCTAGACAATCTGGTAAGTGATTTTTTGGGGAAATTTCTTTATAGAAAAAATTTAAGGAACAAACGACAAAGCTGGCGGTTTGCATTATTTACTTCGTTGGACTTCTCCACAAACAATTAAGGAAACAACTTCGCCTCAAACTGAATGGCGTTATCCAAATATGGATTGAAAATTAAATTTAGGAAATGGAAAGGCAATAAAAAAGTTTTTTTTTAAATAATTTTGGCTTTAAAAAAGTCAGTTAAGTAAGAGAGATATTTATTTTTGAAAATATAATTTCTGGTGCTTTTTCTGTCATTTTTGATTAATTTTTAGGTTATACTTTAAATTCTATTTATTTTAAAAGAAATATTTTTCTATGGTTCAATTCTTGTCCTTGGACTTCTTGGAATATTTCCCATTCCCTCTTAGGTTTCTTATCTTCCTTCACATCTCTTTCTTCTTCCCCAACAGTTCGAATTTACACAAATGTTCCCTTCGCACTACCCCTTGAGCGAAGGGAACAGTACTTTTTCTAATTCTTTCCTGGACTTTTTGGAATATTCCCCATTCCAGGTTTCTTTCTCATATACTTTCACATCTCTTTCCTCGTCCCCAACAGTTCGAATTTAGACAAAAAATGTTCCTTTCGCACTACTCCTAGAGCGAAGGGAACATTAACTTTTTCCAATCCTTCCTTGAACTTCTCGGAATATCTCCCATTCCTCCGTAGGTTTCCTTCTCATCTACTTTCATATCCTTTTCTTCTTCCTTGCAATTCGAACTTACACAAAGTGTTCCCTTCGCACTACTGCCTAGAGCGAAAGGAACACCAACTTACTTTCGACTTAAAACGAATTGAATCATAATTTTTTTCGTCATTCCTTTTATTTAGTATATGTACTTTTAAAAAGTCTCAAAACTTTCTTTTTTCCTTAATTAGCCCCAATGTGCAATTTGTACGTTTTGGTTTGCTTTAATATAAGAAGATAATAAATTTTTGAATGAATTGATTTTTTAATTTTAATTTTGTTTTTTCAATAATATTTATTTTTAATTTTTTTTCTCATTTATTTTAGTATTTTTGACAAACTTTTTAAGTTTAATCTGTCTTATAATGGAAGAATGGACACCTACTGCAATGTCTTATGAAGGTTTTTAACGAGGAAAAATTTTTTTGTTTCAATTTTTATTTTTTAAAGAAGCAAGTAGCACACTCAAAAAATGGCGGGAAGAGCACGCAAGACGTTCAGAAGATGTTGTGGAAATATGGGAATTTGTATTGAGTAGATATTGTGCTGCTTTGGGTGATGAACTTTGGGTTGTTTTGGAACAGGTTTTAAAAATTTTGTTAAGGTCGTAGGGGCTGAGGGAATTTTAAAAAGTTTATATTGGGTGAATAAAATACCCGTTGACTACTAGAAAATTAAGCAACATTGAAAACTTACTTGGAAACCCAATCCAGCGGAAGGTGAATTAGGTCTATCGGTCTTTTCAATAAATGACAAAAATCGTTGACATGTCGATCGAGTCAGAGTTTATTAATTTTTACCTTCAAAAAGCTTGGGTGGTGTAATTTATGAAGATGCTGATATTTTGGGGAATGTAGAACTTGGTAAACTGTTAGGATTTTTATGTGATTGACACTCATTTTAAGCGTGGGTAATTAACTTTATTTTTTTATTAAAATACCTATTTAAGGTAGCAATTGCAGCTTTAGACCAAGCCCGTCACGATTTGGCAATTGATTGTATTCAACAATTACACCAACAATTCCCCAAAAGTATGAGAGTTACAAAACTTCAAGCAATGCGTTTAGAAGCTATTGGGAATTATGAAGATGCCGATAAACTTTACGAAAAGCTTATTGAAGCTGATGAAACTAATCAAGTTTGGCTTTTTTTAAAAATTTTTTAAAAAATTCTAAAATAAATTTTAAGGTATTTCGAAAACGTCGAATTGCCATTTTGATAGCTAAAGGGGAAAGGCAGGGAGCAATACGTGAATTAAATAAATATTTGGAAAGCTTTGGAACGGATACAGAAGGGTGGTTGCAGCTTTCGGAACTTTTTCTTCAAGAAGGGGATTATACTAGAGCGGCATTTTGTTTTGAGGAATTAATTCTTTCAAATGTTTGTTTAATTTTTTGGGGGTTTTTTTGCCAAAAATTAAACCGTTTTCGTGAAATTTTAAAAAACCGAAAACTTCAGAAAATAAGTGATTTTATTAAAAATTCCCCGAAAATTTAACCGGTATTTGTCTAAAACTCACAACAGAAAACCGAGGGTACTGAATAATCGGTAGTGAACTACCCTAATTTTTCCTTTTATTTTTGGGGGAAGGGATGCGAAGACTGCTTCGAGTTTAGAAATTTGAATTAAAATTTTGAAATAAAATTTTAAGCCACACAATTCTTGTTATTTACAAAAAATGGCAGAAATACGCTATACTTTAGGAGGGCAAGAAAATATTGAATTGGCAAAAAATTATTTTGAAAAATCGGCTTCAATATCTTCCAGTGCTGCTTCACTTTATGGATTGATTTTGGTAATTTAATTTATTTTTAAAAAGTTAAATTCTTTTATCCTTCTTTCAAGTGTTACAATCAACTTGCCCAAAAAGCTTCTGGACAGCGTAAACACGAAATTGTTTTGGCTGCCCAAAATGTTTGTGATCGTTTACTTTTATTATACGACAATGAAGAAACAGATACATCTTCAAATGAGATTATAGAACGGCAACCAAATTTTGAAAAACAAATTGGGGTTATAAAATTTTTAAAAAGTTGTTTTAAAGAATGAAGAGAGGACCTTTTAGAAATTAAATAAAATTATTTTTAGGAAATGGTAAAAAAATTCTTTTTAATGTTTTTTGAATTTCCTTCTAATATTATCTGATATAAACTAAATTAGTGAGTGGACATTTTGTGTTTGAAAGTTTTAGGCCAGTGAAATTTTTAAGCTAGTGGGAGGCTAAGCTTAATTTTGGGGTGAAAATTCGAAGAGCAAAATAATAGCTTATCCGAAAGAGCTCGATAAACATATTCCTATCTTCGTGGAGGGCATGCCTGACTTCTCCGTAGCAGCAAAAAACTTCACGGAGACCATAGGTAAGGAATTAAAACAAGAGGCCATAACTTGTCCAAAATTGTTAGATTTCGTTGATTTTGGTGTCCTTTGACTTAGTTCGACGAACTCTTTCAATTTTTGGAGACCTATATCTCCTACAGGCATTTCCCCAACTAGAGATTGTTACCGTTCACAATTCAACTCGTCGAGACGAATCGAACTGTATAGGTTTTAAATCGAAATTTTGCCTCCGCTATACATACTAATTTTTAATTTGTTTTACTCGTACTTGTACACAATAACGAACATCCAAACAATTATGTAATAGTTAAGTTGTTCATTTTGTTTGGGCAAAAACACCAATTTTTATTTTGAAATTTAATATGTATTTATACACGTACATATTAAGACGTGTTGATTGTCGATTTATTGAGTGAAAATTATAGAGAAGGTCCCTCTCCTCCTCTCTAATTTTTACCTTATTTCCATTTAAAAATAGTCGATTAAAAATTTAATTAAAAATTGTATGTAATTAATAATTTAATTTAAAAATTAAAAAAAGATTTAAAATACAGTAACGGCAATATGTTTATGCGGTAGAGTGTTACCGTTCGAATTATCACCAAAATACACTCAAAAATTAATCTCTCTTTCTGACTTACTTGGGGTATATTATATTATTCTTTATGAACTCTTGAATGATATATTTATTCCTTTTTTTAAATACCGAAAAAACTGCATTAGATTAAATAAAAATACCCAAAAATTTTGGCGGAAATATGTTTATGCAGTACATTTTATTTCTGCTTTAGGCCAGTTTTTATTTTATCACCGCAAAATTTTTGCGCCTTCAATACATCATGGTATGAGTTAGAAATAATTTCGACATTTTTTATACGGTGCCCGACAAACAAAAATATCAAACGGAAAGACCCGGTTCTTAAAATGCTCCGGACTTAGTTAAAACATAATTTTAGGGCTTCTCAGTTCAAGGTTACTGCATAAATATTAGTCGATTCTTCCGGATTCCGGATTTGCAACTTATGCCGGACCGGATCCGGCCGGATATTTCCGGATTAATCAGGTCCGGAAAAAATCCGGAAATCGCGAAGAACCACGGATATTGGATTCGGACAAATCCCGCCGGATCCGGTCCGGTCTCACCAATATTTAAATAGGTATATATTAGTGTTATTCACGGTGCCGTATTACGGCGGTATTTTTCGGTAATACCGCCGTATTTTTACCGAAATACCGATACCGAATACGGTACCGAACATTTAAAAAAAATCGGTATTTTTTCGGTATCGGTATTTTACCGAAAATACCGATACTGAAAAATCGCGTTTGAATAACACTACATAGTATGTATATATTGCCGGCACTGTAAGTAGAATAATTTAATCTTTTATATGTATACTATTTGATTTATGTAATCTAGTTGAAGTTAATTATTTAAATTAATTCATTTTAAGTAATGAGAATATTTTTATTATTTTATTTATTTTTATTTTTTAAAATAAAAATATTGACTAATGGAATGGAGCATCAAAAAAATTGTTTGTTTTTCTATTTCAAATTTTTTATTTTACACTACGGAAAGTTTTGAGTATTTAAAAAAATTCACCTGCGATGCATAAAAAGATGGATAAAAGAGATGGAGCCAATAATTTGAAACCCCTGAAACTGGAGCTAACAAATGTCCAATACCCCCCTGGCCTCATGCTTTCTAAAATTCTCAAAATTTTCACCTTCGGCTATTAATAAAAAATTTTCGCTGCCTGATTTTTGTTATATTTCATTGATGCATTCTAATTGGATAAAATATGAATGGGACCTTCTGTGTGATAGCCAAAACAGGTTTCGGTTAACCGAAAACCGTGGGTCAGTCAGAAATCGAAAACTGGGGGTACCAGTTAATAACCGGTAGTGAACAACCCTAATAAATATTTTTTGGTAAGATTCATTATCCTAGTTAATGATGGAAATTTTCCTAACAAATTCCTTAAAGTTTTTAGCAAATAATTTATATTTTAAGGGCAAATAGAGGAAGGATCAAGCTCAAAAGGAATACAAAAATTAAAAGGTTTGCCGCTCTATGTCTTGGATAATGGAATGTGGTCTGTAAACAGAAATGAGGAGATGCCTGCTCGAAATGAGGAGATGCCTGCTCTTCCTAAAGAGTATGTAAATCTTATCGGATTAAAAAAGATTGGAGAGGGTTGTCGAGTGTGGCACGAAACGAACCGAGGATTTTCGTTTGGTCAGCCTGGATATTTTAAGCTTTTTTAAGAGTCAACACCCCCAGTTATGAAGATGCATTTATATGAAGGGAAAGGATTTTTGCTCCTTTTTTGGCGAACTTTTAATACAAACGAGATTATAGGATGAAAAGATTGGGCTAAACTGCACTTTATGGGTCTGATCCCGTTTGTATGATCATAGGTTTAGCTCCTTACCTTTGGTCTACGCGCAGGTTTTTGTTGCTGGGGAGGAAGCCCAGAACCCAGCGACCGTTGACGTGCCGCAGCGCCTCGCCGATGCCCCATAGGCTTATGTTGCTCGTTTTTCTGTCGTAACTTTGTCTGACTTGTTTAATCACGTTGATTTTGGTGTCTTTCGACTCAACTCGTCGAGCTCTTTCGAATGACATATAAATCATCCATACATATCTGGATCAGACCCATAAAATGCAGATAGGCCAAAGATTGTTTGGACAGTTGAATATTTTTTATAACTTATGATTTTGCTTTGTTATTAAGACAAAAGTACGTCGTTGGAGAAATAGTACTTGCGGGGATGAGGTCTAAAAAACTTCAAGAATATATATGGCAAATAGGAAAAGTAATCGAAGTTTTGGATAATGGAAATTATATCGTTGAAATTGCAAGTATATATAAAACAACACAAAATATTTTAAATTCAAAAAATATTAAAAAGACTTTCCAAATTGGCGAATTTGTTACGGAGCAGTTCAACTGAGTCCGCACGATTGAGTCCCCACGATTGAGTCCGCACGATTGAGTCCCCACGATTGAGTCCCGGCACAATTGAGTCCCCACGATTGAGTCCGCACGATTGAGTCCCCGTTGTATATACCTCAATTGAGTCCCCGTTAAAAATTCCCGGTAGGAATTTTTATTTTCCTAGATTTTTTTATTGTTTTTTTTATTTTTTTGTTTTTCTTTTGGGGTTTGCAACTAATTTTGTTAATTAGTTGACCGAGCATCCACTCAAGTCCATCCGAGCACTGAATTTTCTCAATGAGGACGAGAGGGAGGACGAGAATCTTGTGTAGGTAAAAGTTTAATTTTTATTTTTTAATTTTAGATTTTATATTTCAGGTTGGTCTAACTTTGCTCATCACGTGTCGGACTTCATCCCACGGCTGCAACGATGGGAAATTTGAAAAGGTTTGGAATTTTTATTTTGTTTTTCGTTTTTATTTTTAAAATTTTTTAGTTGATTTTCGTCAGTTTCTGACTGGCGATTTTCAAGTTCACAGTTTCTGAAGGAACGAAGGTGGTGAACTTAGGAGAACAAATAACGAAAGAAAGGCCCTTCTTTGGCACACTAATTGAAGCTAGACTTTGGTTTTTTTTAATTTTTTTGATAAAATTTTTAAAAAATATTTTTTTATTTTTTTTTTCACATTTTGATTTTCTCCCGTATCCAGGTAAATTCTGCCGGAGTCCGGAAATTAGGAAGGAGTTTTTACGTTCGTAATTTAGATAGTTTCCCCTACCCTCCATAGCAGCACAAAAAGTTTTTCCAGCGAAGATTCTGTTGGTCAAAATTTGTTCAGAATCATTCAATCAACTTGATTTTGGTCTTATTCAACTCATCTCGTCGATCCCTTTCGAATGAGCTATTTTTTGTTTATTCGAATGTTTCGCAACAAAAATTCCCCATGGAATTCCACCAAAAAATCCACCATTTCGAGCCCCATATCTCGGCGAGAACTTGTTCAACAATGTTGATTTTGGTGTCATTCGACTCACTACTTTCGAATGAGCTGTCATTCAAAAAATCTCTCGATATCCCTCCTAATCCCCAAACCCACAATATCCATCTTAATCTCTCCGAATTTGTTGATATCTGCCTTAATTCAACCGATATCCCCGCTTAAATCTACTTATATCCCTCCATATCCACCGATATCCAACTTGATCCCTCGATGTCGAATACAAGTCCCCTGATGTTCACTTTAATCTCTAAAAATCCCCCGATATCCCTCTTAATCCTTTTTAATATAATTAAATACACGGGGACTCAATTGAGGTATATACAAGGGGGACTCAATCGTGCGGACTCAATCGTGGGGACTCAATTGTGCCGGGACTCAATCGTGGGGACTCAATCGTGCGGACTCAATCGTGGGGACTCAATCGTGCGGACTCAATTGAGGTGTACCGAATTTGTTAGTGCAGAAAAAACAAAGAAAAGGGAAGCATTGGAATTAGCAGAAATAATCGGAATTAAATTTAAAGATTTTGAATTGACAATAAAAAGAAATCCAAAATTTGGGAAAATTGTTTATAGACATAGAAATGAGTTAAGTAAAATTGAAATTGCTTCATTTAAAGTTGGTGAAAAGGTTGAAGTTTGGAATTATGAAAAGTTGTGGGTAGAGGGGGTGGTTAAGGATATTGTTGAGGGAAAGGAAATTATTGGAAGGGGAACAGAAAATAATTATTTAGTGGGGGTAGATGGACAATCTAAACTTTTAAAAGTACATCCTGTAGATATGCGAAAATTCTTTCAAGTTGGGGAAGTAGTTAGTGTTAAATTAGACGACCAAAAATTTGTTCAAGCAACTGTAGAAAATGGAATAGATGAACATGAAAAGTACAGATTGTCTATGAAGATTGATGAATTGAATTATATGTTTATAGAAAGTTATCCTGTTGATATTGAACATATTTTTTATGACACACACACAAACTAGGAGAATTTCAACTCCAAAACTACAAGTCACAAAAAATTCTGGCAAATGATTATTTTTTTAAATAGGGTTGTTGGCGGACGGTTAACCGAACCGGAACCGTTAACCGGTGTTTTTGGTCAATTAACCGGAACCGAAAACCGGGGGTCGAAAACCGGCGATAACCGAAAACCAAGGGCATCGGTTAATAACCGGTCGCCAACAACCCTATTTTTAAAATATTTTTGTTCACAACTGGTTTAAGATATGAATTTTTGAGATTTTTTGCAAAAAATTAAACCGTCTGTATGAAATTTTAAAAACCGGAAATTCATAAAAATGAGTGATTTTTTGAAAAATTCCCAAAAATTAAACCGGTATTTGTCCAAAGTTCAAAACCGAAAACCGGGTTTTTAAAATTTGGATTACCCGAAAACCAGGGGTACCGATTAATAACCGGCAGTGAACAACCATACATATTTAAAACTAAAAATTATTCTCTCTAATTAAAATTATCATTTTTATTTAATTATTTAACACAAAGCTATATTCAAAATTTTAACGTACTAACTGCACCCCATTTTATATAAAAATTACACAATTAAACTGTAAACAATGTTTAAAATTAATTCTGATTTTTATTAATTTAATTTTCACCTGTAAATTAAGAAAGAATTTAAAGGCAAGATAAATATTATTTAATATAAGTGGTATATTTAAATTAAAAATTCTAACAATAATTATTAAAAGTTGGCAGTTTAAAGTTAAACAATCTGCTTTTGATAATTATTTCCAAGAAAATAAAATTTTTGTTTGTCTTTTAAAGGGCATTAAATAAATGGCAGGTGAAAATTTTAAAATTAATTAGACGACTTTTTCTTTTAAATAATAAAAAAATTTCAAATGAAACAATTTAAAGAAAATATTTCGCTACACATTTTAATTTTTAAAAGTAAAAAATGTCCAATTTAATTGATATTTTATTTAAATTTGATTATTGGGCAAGTTTATTACTTGGTTATCCTCTAAACATTATTCTGATTATTTTAATTATTTTTACAACACCAGAAGAAATGAAAGCACACAGTCGAATTCTGATACAAAATTGTGTTTTAGATATTTTATTATTAACATTTCAAATGTTTCTTCAAATGGTGAAACCTTTATAAAATCAGATTTAAGTTAAAAAAATCAGAATTAATTTAAAACAAAATCAGAATTAAGTTAAAAAAAATCAGAATTAATTTAAAACAAAATCAGAATTAATTTAAAACAAAATCAGAATTAAGTTAAAAAAAATCAGAATTAATTTAAAACAAAATCAGAATTAAGTTAAAAAAATCAGAATTAAGTTAAAAAAATCAGAATTAAGTTAAAAAAAATCAGAATTAAGTTAAAAAAAATCAGAATTAAGTTAAAAAAATCAGAATTAATTTAAAACAAAATCAGAATTAAGTTTAAACTTTAAGATTTATCTAAGTGACAGCAATGGGAATTCTATTTTTATTTTTACTAACGGCATTTTTATTGAATTTATGAAAGATAATTGTATCAAAATTATTTACTTAAGCTATTTATTTATCCTACAGTCGTTTTTCATGATTAATTTGTATGGATTGTGTGCCCAATTTGTTTACAGATATTTAATTCTGAACAGGTAAAACAAAACAAAATCAGAATTAATTTAAAACAAAATCAGAATTAATTTAAAACAAAATCAGAATTAATTTAAAACAAAATCAGAATTAATTTAAAACAAAATCAGAATTAATTTAAAACAAAATCAGAATTAATTTAAAACAAAATCAGAATTAATTTAAAACAAAATCAGAATTAATTTAAAACAAAATCAGAATTAATTTAAAACAAAATCAGAATTAATTTAAAACAAAATCAGAATTAATTTAAAACAAAATCAGAATTAATTTAAAACAAAATCAGAATTAATTTAAAACAAAATCAGAATTAATTTAAAACAAAATCAGAATTAATTTAAAACAAAATCAGAATTAATTTAAAACAAAATCAGAATTAATTTAAAACAAAATCAGAATTAATTTAAAACAAAATCAGAATTAATTTAAAACAAAATCAGAATTAATTTAAAACAAAACATAAATTTATAGAAATATGAAGACAAGTTTTAAACGTTATTTATATATATTTTCAATTATGATGCCTGCTGTTTTGCTTTATAATCTGATTTTTATTTTCACCGCTCCATATGATGGAGGGATTAAACAATTTGATGAATTAAACAGAATCTTGCCTTATGTTTCTACTAAAGTACAGGTATCGGAATTATATTTTATCGCTGGTTTTCGGTCCCCGATTATCCCAGCTTTCTCCAAAAATCTGGGTTATCGGTTCCGGTTCAGTTTACCGTTTGTGTCCAAATCTACTTCAAATATAATTTATTTTTAAATGAAAGGATTTTCCACCATTAATTGTAACTTTTATTATGCTGTTTCCATTTGTTATAATTTTTATTTGTGGATTTAAAATGGTTTATTATGTTAATTCACATACTGGATTTAGTCAAAATTTGAAGAGATTGCTTAAACAATTGACAAAAACTTGATAATTTTGGTATAAAAATTAATTTAATTTTATCTAAATTTAAATTTCAGGTAATTATACCATTTATCAATCAATTATTACCTATATTAACTGTGTTAGTTACTTTAAATAAAACAAATGATTCATCCAAAGATAATGATATAAATCCAATTTATATCTTTCTTGCTATTTTCACTCATTTTACACCTGTTTTTAACCCAATTGTTTGTATAATAACTAATAAGCCATACAAAGAAGCTGTTTTTAATCGTTTAAAAATACATCCACAATGATTTGTGTATTTTATATTATTGTAGTAGTTAATTAAAAAATGAATAAAGATGCTTTGGCCCTATTTTATTTTTTTAAACACGCCCTTTATCTGAAATAAAACTGACAGTTCAATAATAAATAGAAAAATTACTTTTAAGAAAGACGGGTGCTATATGTAGAACTTTCAACTATTCCCTTTACTTCTCGATGCTCTCTTCGAACTTAATGTATAAATAATAATTAAATTGAGTTTATTTGTCAACACGTATTTAGAAGAGCCCCGTTTTTTAAAAATTTTAGAGGTGTGAATGTAATAGTTAGTTCAATAAAAGAAAAATTTAATTATTAATTAAACTAATTAAACTATAGCTTGTAAAACGCAAGTTTCTGAATTTAAACCTAAAAATTTTTCCCGAATCTTGAAATATTTTTCCTATACTACAAATAATTCTATAAAACATTTAAAAAACTAACAATCTCTTTCATGTTGCCTTCCATCCATTAATAAAGTTTGATCTATTAGAAAAACCAAAAGAAAAAGTAATAGAAATACCTTCATGTTTTAATACAAAGAAAATGTATCCAATCCCTCGGTTTTTAAATTTTTTAATTAGAAAAATAGCAATGAATGGGTAATATTATAAGAAGGCTGTCTTAAATGCTGACGGCATTATAAAATAAAATTTTAATTAGAAATAAAGACTCAACTTTGGGACAGGCGTCCCATGAGCTTTAAGGATTCCTTCAAAGATATATGTAGGTATTACCTACCCTATCATATAAGGGTAGGTGGTCCAAGAATGGGAAATAGTCGACAGCTCATATGAATGTGGGTAAGTGGAAAGAGGGGATGATTGACTGCTCATATTAAGGTTGTTAAGCCAATGGATTAATTCTTAGGCATCTCATACATATGTATGAAAGTAGTTAAGCCAAAAAGATCGAAGAAGAGGTTATGTCGACAGCTCTTATAAAGGTAGTGAATAAAAGAAGATATACGACATAAATGAAAGATTTGCCCTTTCATTTTTACCCTCATCTCTAAAATATAAATTTTAAATATTGCTATAGTTTATTGGGATTTCTTAGTTGTTAAACATACATATGTGTAAATTAAGATAATTTTTGATTTAATATCCTCAAAAATTAAAAAAAAACCTTCAAGTTTATCTTAGTATATACTTCCAAGTCAAGTTTCAATGTTATTTTCATTTGAATTCGGCGATTTTGAAAAACATTTTTATTTTAGAAAAATTTTTTTACGAAAAAACTTAGTATTAAACACGGTAACTACTAATGAGCAATATTAAGTTTATCTAAACAGTCCGAAATCTTCAGTTAGAAAAGCCACATTCGGGTTTTAAAAATTTTCTTTTGTTCGGGTTTAAGGCCTAAACATGTCCCAGTTTTAAGTTTTGGGTCAGCTCTTAAATAAAAATGGTAAGGAAGAGAATAATATTAATTCTACTTCACACAAGATCAAATCTTACCAGAAGACTCAAGACAGCTTAATTAACAAGACCTAGTGAAATAAAAAAAGGATTATGAAATTTCATTGACTATAAAGAAATTTATGACAAAAACAAAAAGGGCGGCAAAGTTGTCGCACACTGAAATCTAATAATAAAATTTGAACTAAAATTTATTTTTTTAGATAAATTAAACAATTTATCAATCAAACATTAAAATATTAGAAATGAATTTATTCATTATCTTTTTATTGGCATTTTGTTTAATAGACAAATTGCAAATGTCTGATGGAATGCAACATTTGATGGGTTAGATTTTTTGTTTTTCAGAGTTTTAGGTTTTAAAAACCTTAAAATTTGACCTAAATTGATGGCAAAAAATTCAAAATCGTCTTCAATGAGTAACAATAATATTATAACATTCAGGAGTAAGGTTATATCCTAGAAATCCTATCAATACTAATTAAAAGATTTAGGCTTTTTAGACACTAAAAATCTAAGCAATTTTTTAAAGATTTTTTTCAGATCTCTATGAATCTGAAAAAAGAGATCTGAAAATAAGCAATCTTCAGATTTCTATGGAGGTATACTGGAACTTTGTTTCTTTTGTTTTTCTATTCATGTCAATAGATTAGTTTATATGAATTTTTGTAGATTTTTTTAACAACCTTAATGTCAATACTTGGGGTGGTCTTAAAGTTTTCTTGACGGTGTTTGTATTTAAATTCGATTAAGTTTGCTCCTTAACTAGCTAAGTTGGATGACCTTGCTTTGTTTATAGTGTTTTAAATTGATACAATAAATTATAAAGGCCGTACTAAAGGAAAACAACAAATTGAAGGCTCATCAAGAGGAAAAGGAAAAGAGACTGCTCCAGCACCTGAATTTCCTGAATTGAATTTTTCTTTGATTGAATTGACCATTTTGGTACAAATATTACGTAATATTGAGTTTACAACAATTATAAGTAATCCAGAAGTAGATTTACATATAATAATTAATCATTACAAGGATAAATATATTTCTGGATTTTATGATGAAAATTTAATTAATTCTCAAGTTGTACACGAAACAGTTCGTAAATTAAATCAGGTAATTTTGAAAATAAGTGGGAGTTTTGGCTGTACTTTAGCCGGTGGCCCACTCAGAAACGGGACAAATGATATACCATTCGATTCGTCTCGGCGAGCTGAGTCGAATGGTACCATTCTTTTTTTTTGCGGAAATGCCTATGAGCCGAGATATAGTTCCTTGAAAACCGAAAAACCATAGGGGGGAGTAAGCACAATTTTGGGGTGAAAAATTCGATTTTTTAAATGATAGCTCATTCGAAAGAGCTCGACGAGCTGAGTCGAATGACACCAAAATCACCGTGATTGAGTAAGTTTAGACAAAGTTACAACACAAAAAACAATCAACATAAACCTATGGTACCATTCGACTCAGCTCGCCGAGACGAATCGAATGGTATATAATTTGTCCCGTTTCTGAGTGGGCCACCGGCTAAAGTATATCCGGAGTTATCTGTGTAAAAAATCATTTTATTCCTATCATTTTATTCCATTTTCTGAAAAAAATATTGACAAACTTTAAAATAGTTTATTTAGCATTATTATATACCAATCGTTTTATTAAGAAGGGAAGTTTGGCTAACAATTATCATGTCTAGTTATTGGTTACATTACAATGGTAGTCTAACTCGTGGACTATACATTTAACACATAATTTAATGACTCAAGAAAATTACAAGAAAGAGAAAAATTTATAAAAATTAAAAGGTGTGAAATTAATTTTCGCAAAATGCCTTTTGCGGAAATATAGACCACGAGCTTGACAAAAATCAAAGCAATTCTTAAATTATGTATTTAAAATTGTATTTACAGATAAAGACTTTTTTCGTTCCGGTAAGATTTTCTATGATTCTAGACTTCCTAATCAATCCCTTTATATAAAAACTAATTTCCTTAAATTTAAAGGTTATATTTTACTACACCTGTCTGTTAAATGAATTAATTCCTGTTTATCGCAATGCTAAAGAAGCTAAAATCGAACTTATTGTGAATAGAATGAAAGATTTAAGTTTAACAATGGATATAGATAAATATAAGTTTTTGATATCTGAAAAATTCAAATTTAAGAAAGCTTTAAAAGACTGTGATAATGATCCTAACATCTCAGCTGATAAATTGTACAATAATGCTATGTCATTTTTGTCTGGAAAAGGGTAATAATTAACTGATCTAATATTTTAATTTATATTTAGTATAACAGCAATAACCCAAATATCAGGCCATGTGAGAAAAATAAAAGATTCAGAAAAAAATATTTTCATTATTTGGCATTTATTTGCTTTTGCTAGAAGGATAATTCATTCATTTAGATTGTTTTATAAAGAAAATCCAAATTATTATGATAATATTTTGTTGAATTTTTGGCAATTGATGAGAGATAATGGATATAGTGATTTTTTACAGTTTGTCTTTACTTATTAAATTTAAATTTAAAATTATCTAATTTAGAGAGAAGATTTCAATTCTAAGCTATATTAAAGCTTATGATGAATTGGAAATTAAAGCAAATAATTGGATGGAAATACTGAAACAATTGAGCATTTTCCAAAGAGAAAATGTTTATTTTGAATATAGAGGAATTAAATATAGTAAGTGTTGGGTATGTGCTTAGTATAAAAGGCTGCGGCTTTAGCCATTCGTGGGTTAGTGTTTGTTAGTGTTATTCTTAGTCGTATTCTAGTGCTCCACATAAGTAGTATCTTACCGGGTTTTACTACAAAAATAACGTTTTAAAATCCGGTTTTACTACAAAAAAAGAAAATGATATCTTTTGTGTAGTTACCACCTTTAATCAATTGGTAAGGGATTAGTACTATTGTAATCAGTTGTTACTCAATTAACACACAATACACTTAAAAATTTTAAAAAATTTTATAATTAAAAAAATTTTAAAATTTTACTTAAAAACACCAATTAAAAAATCAATTAAAAACCCACTTATAAAACCACTTAAAAAAATTCAAAAAATTTTATAAAAAACCCCCACTTAAAAAACCACTTAAAAACCACTTAAATAACCACTTAAAAAATTTTTTAAAAATTTTTAAAAAATTCTATAAAAAACAACCCACTTAAAAACCACTTAAAATAATTTAAAAATTTTAAAAAAATTTAAAAAAATTTTTAAAAAAATAAAAAATTTTATAAAAAAAACCCCCACTTAAAAAACACTTAAAAAACCACTTAAGAAATTTTAAAAAATTAAAAAAATAAAAAATTTTATAAAAAATACCCCACTTAAAAAACCACTTAAAAAATTTTAAAAAAATAAAAAATTTTATAAAAAATACCCCACTTAAAAACCACTTAAAAATTTATAATTAAAAAAAATTTTAAAAATTTTAAAAATTAAAAAAGTTTAAAAACCCCCCACTTAAAAACCACTTAAAACCCCCACTTAAAAACCACTTAAAAATTTTATAATTTAAAAAAATTTTAAAAAATTTTAAAAATTTCAAAAATTTCACTTAAGAAAACACT